AAAGGTTTTTCTCCGATAATTCATAAGTGTTCTTCCTCCTAGCAATGTGTAGGATGGTCATCTTTTGTCTTTTAGTGTTGTTTAAATTTTGTCCCGGTTCCAGCTCTGATCATTTCAGACTTCCTAAGCCGCAAAGTAGCAGTGGCAAGATATGGGTGTTACTGACAGCGGGTTCGAAAGGATGGACGGAATACAGGCATCAGGTTTGCATTATTTGATTAAAGTATTATTTGAAATAAACTGTTTATATTTTTTAAATCAATTTTTCATTCATAAATCGAGAGCCACACTCCATAAGCTTATTAGCTTATTTAAAAAATAAAATTATTAAAATGGCGAAATAAACCGCGTATTTATTATTTCACTCTATTATCTGTTTAAATTTTACAGCATGGTTTAGACAAAGATATAATGTTTAAACAACGTTTTTGGTTTGTACTTTTTAATACATGCTAGGCTGAAATAGCCCCGAAAAGCTCAAATCTTCACTTGTTAATAAAATTGTATAGGCTTTTGCAGTGTAGCTTTCGATATATTATAGTGTTCGGAAACACCAAGCATGGATTTAATATTGGTATTCTTAGTTAATTAGTGTTTAACTCGAACTTTTATACGAACATCATAAGCCTAAAAATTGGTTGTAAAACTTGATTTTGGGAGATTGGGCAGATATTACATTGTAACTATAAGGCTTCTTTAAACTCAAACTTTGACTGTGGCGCTAATTTGAAAAATAGTACGTTATAAGAAAATTTTATGTTTTAATTTCTTCATTTATATCTGATTTTGTGGTCAACTACAAAATTGCCACAATCAGGCCTCTGAAAGTTAAAATATTCTTCCGAGTTTTCATTCCTTAATCTTAATTTAATTTTTTTTTATAATTCAGCATCTTATTTCTATTTTTTGAGTCAGTGCATTATGTCCACGTTTTGGGACATATTGGATGAAAGTTAGTATACATGTTTTTTATTAAACTATATGATTTTTTTTAAGACTAAAAGGAGGGGGTTAAAGATAAATATACCAGTTACGACACTATACTAGCAATATATAATTTTCAAGTCGTTAACATAGTACAAATACAATTAGATTTGCAACTAGAACTTAAGAAGGCGATACGTGCACCTCAAGTAATATCACGCCACAATAGCCGACTGGTAGTTAATTTTTTTACATAGCAGAATTTATTTTTCGGTTTTTTTAATTTAATAAAAAAGCCTGTTTAGCCTAAAACCTAGGTGTCTATTGCTGATGCAATGATCTATCAGAATTTTCTTAGGGTTTTATGAATAATTAACTAATTGACTGTATTTTATTATTAGATTATTATTATTATTATTATTCGATAACATACTAAATCTGCTTACTAATAAATCAATTTGCAAAGATCCAACATCAGAACTAAAGCTGTAGTTCACATTAATATGCAAAACTTCTCTTTAATATATAACCATATAAATGGTTATTTCACTATGCTAGTATTTTTGTTTCATGGTTTTTGATATTTTCCATCTGCTGTCGGTATCAAAAGAAATAAAATAAATAGTTTGATTTAGCAATAATGTCGCTGTTAGTTAAGTTAGATAAGTATGTTTCTCATAGTTTGTGAAAAGTCTAAACACACCTTTAAGCCGGATTTAGATATTTCACAAACTATGGAACAAGTAATTATGCAAATGGCTATTTCACTAAGCTAGTATTTTCATTTCTTATTTTTATATTTTTCATCTGATTTCGTTATCAAGAGAAATAAAATAAATAGTTTAATTTAGCAATAACATCGCTGTCAGTTAAATTAGATCAAGAGTCTTCACACTATGGCCCGCGAAAGTACCTTTGATTACAAGGTAAAATTTTATAACTTTTTTATATTTTATTTTATTTTATTATTTTATTGAAATTTACAACTGTAAACAAATATACAACAAGTAAATTTGATATAGAAATATATAAATTTTAAAACTATTTAAAAAATACAAAATTTGTTGAATGAGTCAAACATGAGGCTTCTACAACATTTATTGTACGAGTCGTTTCTCTTAGAAATCTCATTACACAACTGAAATGTCATTTATTCATCACAGCCATGATCCGCGGGACTTAGTGAAGATCTCAATGTAGCCCGCGAACCAAAATGTTATAATTTTTATAAAAAGTTTAAAATTTGCAAGAGTCAAGAAAATATCACAACTTATTTATTAAATAAGAGTAAATTGAAACTTGAGATGAATGAATTCATTATTGACAGTAGACTCAGTAATGAGTTGTTCAATCACAGAAATTCTATTATTCGCGACAATGCTTATTATTTATTAATGCTGTTATTCATTACAATGCTGTAATTGTTAACCGTGAGTAACTTTGTCCTGTTTGTTTTTCATTTTTTGTTTCAGCAGCAAACATGGAAGGACAAACAAATATATTGTTGTTTTAATCAATATTATTTATCTCATCAATTAGACTTTAAAATAACAAACTGCTTATTGTGAGAAATATCTATGAAACTTGTTTTTCTTTTCTATTAGTTAGGTAATGACGCTAGCGGATCCAGGATTTTTTTTTTATGTATCTAAAATAATAATTACTTTGGAAGAAAATAAAAGAAATTAACTACCTATATGAAATGGAGTTTGAGTAATTCTTTAAGTCCTATTAAAATATAATTACACGAATAACAATACTTCTGGAGATAAGTTTTTCATAAGACATGGTTATATTTTAGCGTTTTGGGAGGAAAGGAGAAGGGGAGGCTTCAGCCCGAAAACCCCCTCCCCTTTCCCCACCACCGTAGATCGGCCTGTAGTATTGGTATATCAACCTAGCTGTAATACAACACTAACATTTTATTACATTCGCTTACTAATTTACAGAGTAGCGATTAGCGATTATCAATGCTGATTAGTTGTGGTATGATGATAAAGACGTTATAAAGAAAAAATAGAGAGCAGGCTGTATTTCCCAGAAAAGGAGATGGATAAGGGATGGCGCCAGTAAAGTAGCCCGGGGGCCCGTTGATGGAATTGATTTTATTTTTTACCTTCTAAATTTTTTTCAACAAAACATTACATATATTATGAAATAATTACGTAATAACATATTTTTAAAGTATTAATATTGACACTATAATTTTTCAGGGAACATATTTTTTCCAAACTTATTTTTTAAAAGGTACATTTATTCTTTTAAAATTATATTCATGGCTTTCTTTGACAATTTATTTCAGTAAATATCTACAGATTATACAAAATAAAATGTTATTATAAAAAAAGCAAAACAAAGTTTCCTTTATGTCATATTAATTAAACACTTTTTTTTTTAAAATTTTAATATATTTTTTTAATCATTCTATTAATACTTCTAATGCTTATTATTTTGTCACATATTAATTAGAAATGCCTGATGTCTAACAATTGGCTATTAGTCTAATGAGAAACCAAAATTCTTATGATAGGTGTAAAACCACAAAACATTAACATGATGTAGAAAGATGGTGGTAATAAATGGCTTATAGAGGAAGATATTTTTTCTTAATTTTCCCATATTACTCCCACTTGATTATTAATAAACATTTTATGAAAAAAAACATGTTTTTGTAATAAAAGAATAATATTTTTACTGTAAACTCAATGTAGGAAGTATTAATAAAGAGTATTTAAGAAAATACATAATCCACTAACAGTTTTTATGCCCACTTATAGGTAGTCATTCATTTTAGAGTATATATATGTTGCAAAATGGCTAATAATCATGAAATAAAATAAAAATAATAATAATGAAGTACAATACAAATTAAAAAACTATAATATAATAATATTTTTTAAAAAACTAGTCACACATCATAAATGATTCAAAGTCGAATAAATTATAATTCCAATTGCATCTCTAAATTTGATTAAACAACTAATGCCTGTTTTATTATTTAATAAATTATATATCTTTGAGATTTTGTTAAATGATGACCAAGTGACCAAATTGGATTTACATTCTGGTAAATAAAAATCTTCTGTTATCCCGCTACCAGTTCTACTGAATCATAAATTCAATTTATTCAGAGTGTCAATAAATTTTGTACTAATTTTATAAAATGCATTACTGTGTAATGGAAAGCTGTGAAGGGAAGGTACTAAGTAGTATACCATTACATAATATTCATTTTTATTAAATAAATAATAAAATTGATACATGGATAGATCATCATGAATCAAATAATGTAAATTAAATATCAAATAGTCTTAAAAATAAATAAAATCATGGAAATTTGCTCACAATCAATAAATATAACAAAACTGAAATCAATTCTAACATGTAATTAAAAATAATTTAATTTAAACAAAAAGAACAAAACAATTTTTATGTTTTCATGATTCACTTGCAGGTCCCTGATTTACATGGATCATTTGTAGTTCTACCATATCAAAACAGAACTCTTCTCTATTTAATGCAAAATGTTTGTCCTTCAATAATTTCAGGTACTGTCTGTAAATGTTACACAATGAAATTAAAGTCATGATAAATGAGGATACCAAAATCAGACATAATAATGGCTTTATCCATATGTAGACTCCAAAGCCTGAAATACACATGATTTTTTTTTCATTGTTGAAATAGTAATGAGTGAAGTCTGAAGGCAATATATTTTTAGGTTTGTGCAAACCTAATGAAAGAAATACAACCATCAGTATAAATAGAATCAAATAAGTTAATGAATTGCAAACTTCAACTACAATCATCCTCTGATCGATCTTGATACTGATAGAAGCTACACTTTCTTCAGGATCTTGAGTGACATAGTAATTACGGTAAGTTGGCACAACTTTATAGATATACCAAGGAATCAAACCAAGGGTCATCATTACTATAGATATGAAGAGAATTACTTTATTTGCAAAGCTATTGGAGTAGGTGTCAGATGGCATTGAAGATGAATCAACAATGTCTGAAGATTCGTTGTTTGATACTTCTTGGCAGTAATCAGATTTATAAAATAGTCTCATCAGCAAGAGGAATCCACCGCAAAAGAGAAAAATACAAGCCATATAGCAGTGATGTTTCTCTTCGAACGCCATTCTTCTGAAGCAGATAGAGAAAGACTGAGGATCTTACCGGAGGTTAGCGCGCTTGTGGAGACCACTTGTACCAACAGGTCTTCAAGTTATATTATTAAAACTAGATTCAGTTTTATATTTGCTAGCACTCAGAAAGTACTTTATTAGAAAGTAATTTCCTTCCTACGTTTATTTTAATGCAATTTTTATTATTATTTTTGTTTTCACGAAATCAATATTATTTAAAATCCATAAGTGTATTTTTTAAGTAGTTACTGAAAAACATTTTAATTAAACAACCGAGTGCCATTATATCACCGTTAATGGTCGTAAATTTTTTACTTGACTAATGTATTATACTTAACAAGATATTTTCGATATTTTAGAATGGTCTCGTATTATAAGCGTTCTTTTGAAGTTACGAATCAAAAAAGTATATTCGTGAGAAATCCGTTAAGCAGGATATTCCAATTAACGGATTTCATCGTTTGTCAGATTGGGATATACGATGAAACTTTTAGGACAGTAAAGATTAATGGTGAACGAAGTTTTGACAATATAACATTACGAGGTAGAGATACAGATAGTCAGAAGCACAATGCATTGAATAACCATAACCAATGAATTCATCATGTTTTGTTGACTCCCGGCCAAAACAAGGGTGCCTAGAGGTGTGTTTCATGGGGCAAGTTACGTCATAAAAAGTTTTGAAGGAAGCCTATTTTGATGGAGTTTTGAATTTTTGAGGATGGTACATTTCGACGAAGTTCTGAATTTTCGGAATGAAAAGTTTAAAAATATGGGATAATGAGAAAACATAAAACAGATCATTGTAAATTTGATTGTACATTATCTACTATTTTTTAAATTCTACTTTCGCTGGTACTGCTTTTAATAAGAGAGAGAAATAAAATATCTTAGAAGGAGGGAGGAGTTGCTTATGCACCATCAATGTTGGGAGGGATGGACACCCCCTCAACTGAGATATGTGTAGACAATTAGTGTAGATACTTATTTACTCCAGCGATTTTAAGATAATCATGCGTGCCTTTATGAATTTAATTCTTAAACTTTAAACTGAAATAGTATTTTATTCCGCTTCTATTATTTGATTCATATTTTATTTGTGTTACGACCATTTATTGTTTAATTTGAAATTTATTTTCAGCAAAATAGGAGTATAATAATCATGGAAAGCTTGAGGTAAAATATTTAAATTCGATTTTTTTTACCTAAAACATCTTAGAAATGATACTCTCCTTTGCAAAATTTTGAGTCAAATTCACTGTAGTTTTCAAATAAGTTAATACACCAGTTCAACAAGAAAGTACATTGGAAAGAGAAGAAAATAAAAGAATGAACAGTTGAATTAGAGCTACATGCAAAAAAACAAAAAACAAAGTACCAACTTAGCATTTATCAGTTCCTCTGTCCTGAGCTTCCACATGGGGGAGGATTCTTGGAGCCATGGTTCAAGGCCTGATGAAAATAGTAGAATTTGTAATTAATGTTTCATAGATTATTGAAAATTGAAATATAAAATACAGTCGGTATACCGTATAGTAAAACATCTGTCACCATGATATATTTACACAGATTTAATATATTTATATGTATTAAAATGGAGGGATTAGAGATGTGTATATCCAGGGGCTGTTCTGGTCCGGGGATGGGACATAAAATAATGTTGCTTTCAAATTACATTTTGGCCATAATTCAACCAACAAACTGTTAGACATTTCAACAGTAAACAATATCCTATAAATAATAAAATGGATGAAAAGGCTTGCTCTTAAAGATTAAAGCCTTGTATTTATTTATTGTTATTTTAAAATAGGAATTTACCAAGAAGAAAAAGAACTATATAGAACTTACATTAAGTAGTTGCATATGAATCATAATTTAAAAGAGAACATATTGCAATTGTTTAAGGATTTGACTCAGATCACTCACAGAAACAAATATGGGCCAATGAAAAAAAAAAAAAAATTAATTTTCTATTTTGGGAGGACTTCAGCCCGATTTTTACATCAGTGAGTTTAGGAACAGTTTGATGGAGTTTCAATGCTCATCAGTGATCTTAGTACTGAGTTTAAGTAAATGTCCACACTTCAGCTACAGTTAACAATCAGTATTCTTTATGATTTTTGTTTTCATGCTTTTCACAAATAACTAATTCCAGCAAAAATATATTTTTTTTTCAGGCTGATATTTACCATGCTTATCAAATTATCAAGAGGAACAGGATACCTGATGAAAATATAGTTGTGATGGTGAATGATGATATTGCGTATCATAGCAGGTATGTTATTTCTGTTTTATTGTTTTTATATAAATTATTTTTTATATTAAATATAAATCTTAAAGTAATATATTACTACTTTTCAATATAACAAGGGGGTACGTATTACTGGAAAATACTAGTATAATAGTAAACTAAATCAGAATAGTTACTGGATTCTCATCAAAATTTTTTCAATATTTAACATACTTACATTATATTTATTTTTGTTTATAAAACCTTACCTTTATCTAGTGATAAAAAAAAAATATAGATAAACAAAGTTTACATGATATCTTTTGATAAAAACTATTTTTTAATAGATGCATGTGGACAAAATATTTCAATTAATATACCTTAAGATAAAGTAACTTCGGGACAGCGAGTAGAATTTCGTTTGTGGTGAATCCGTGGTGGATACGCTATGTTGGTTCAATCAGCATGGACAGCGCATGTACTGCGCTACTACCTTGTACACTACTCTTGAGGCATAAACAAAAGTTTCATGAAAACAAGGATTTTGAAAAAAGCAATGAAAATAAATAAAACCTAACTGCACAACGATTGTAGTGAATTAGGGTTCTAACTGCTGCAAGGTAGTAGTGCAGTACATGCCTACACAATGCACGTTTTTGCAGACTCAACCAACACAGTGCATCCAATTTTACTCGCTGTCCCAAAGTTATTCACCCAGTCCCAGAGTTACCCAATCCAATGGTTAATTTTACATGTATTTCTTCCACCACAAAATGAAAGTAAATCTGTTTATAACTAGCCATACTTTTTTCACCAGTTGCTTTAAAAGTGTACAGGACAATATGAATATTTTAGATAAGACTTAAAATTAATGTACTCTTTTGAAAAATAATGTTAGAGAATTTATGAGGCTATTTTTCTTGTTGGACTTTTAGGATAGGAGAAAAATTAGTAGGACACCTTTTTATTTTTTTTAAATGGGAATAATGTATATATATATATATATATATATATATATATATATATATATATATGTATATATATATATTATTTTATTCTTTAATTCAATAAAAAAATATATTAATAACATTATTAAACCAGTAATCCAACTCCTGGTGTCATCATCAACTACCCAGGAGGCCCAAATGTTTATGAAGGACTTCTCAAGGATTACACTGGTGCGGTAAGTACAAAATGGTTTTCTAAGACTTTGGTTGGTTTTTTTCTTAATAATTCTGACATCTAGCTAGGAATAAATTTCAAAATGATAGGAATGGATTCATTGGTGTTATAAATAGAATATTGTATACTAATTTTACAACAACCTATAGAAGGTGTCAATTTCACAATTAAAAAAAATGAGAGAATTTATATTTAAAAATAATATTTTCGTAACTAATAACTAATCCAATAAAGTCATAGATAAGAATACTAAAAAAAAAATAGTGAGGAAGCAAAAGTTAAATTTATTTATTACAATATGAGCCTATGAGCCAAATAAAAAGAAATGAGGTTCATGTAATCTAGAAACTACAATTGCAAATATTGTTAGTTCATTATTCATTTCATATTTATTTGAATTAGGCTATTTTTATTATATGTATGGGATATTCATAAAATAATTTATTGTAATATTATACATATTACATTTATTACCCATTGTAGTAGAATAAGAAACATTGGATATTTTTATAGGACATCACTCCAAAGAATTTTCTGAATATCCTCACAGGAAATAAGACAGCCATGAGAGGAATCGGGTCAGAAAAAGTTATTGAGAGGTGGTTATTATTTTAACAAAATTTTGATATAGTACAACCGATGAATTATAATTGATTAAATGTCTTTTTCTTTCAGTGGCCCTGATGATGTCATATTTCTAAACTTTGTTGGACATGGCACACAAGGAGTTTTAATGTTTCCAAATGATGAACTATTTGCAGATGACTTTCTACATGCTATTAAGAACATGAAAAAAACAAACAGATTCTCTGAAGTATAAAATATACTTTTTATATTAAGCATTAGTAATAAAATGTAGCTATTTCAGCTTTCTGAGAGCCCATATATCTGGATTTGATGAATCATCAGTACTGTGATATAGTATACAATAAAAAGCATTCATTTTTAAGATAAGACCTTTATCTTCAGGATGTTGGATTGTTGATTATAAAAGCTTTTAGTTAAAGTTATTATTTTTATTGATGAAATTCGAAACTGATAAAGAAGAGAGATAAAGCCAGATTAAATTAAAATATAAATAAAACTTTTGACTTCAAAATATTTTTTATCCGTGCGTTTGAGAAAGAAAATGGGAATTTAAATCTATAAATAACTCAAAAAAGATAGATAAGTCTGTAATATGAACAAATGTAGAGTGATTGTACGATGCTGCAATAAATAGATGTTTAAAAGATTCTCCAATTGGGCCGACCAGTGGCTAAATTTCATAATAGAAAAACAAGGCAATGAAATTTGCCTATCCCAAACTAGATAGGCTCAGAAATTATTTTTTGTTTGTATACTTTAGTTACTGAAATTTTAAATAATTTAAAGAAAGAATTTTGAGGGGAAAAGAGATATGGAATGAAAATTTGTCAAAAAAGTATCAATTATAGTTTTTTGAAACTTTTTTTTGTTTCTATTAAAGATTTTACAGATCAAAGACTTCAATTCAATGTTACTCCTGCTACTTTTTTTTTTTTTTAAGATTTAAAATATCAAGGTAAGAAATATCAATACTTTAATTGACTAGGGTGTTGATAACATATGCATGAATATTATATGTAATATGTGTATCCATATCTTTTCAAAGAAAAAATATCGAGGTCTGATTATTATCTTGATATATGTATTTGAAAAATATTGGTAAGATATGTTTATCTATATACTAATTCTATTTTAGATATTGTATCCCTACTATATAGTAATATTGATGGGCTGATTTTTTAATTTAATTTTCTTTTGACTTAATTTTATTTTTTACAATATTAAAAAATGATTTGTTTTATATGCAAAGGATATTAGCCCTAATCTGATTACCCTATACTTTTTATTACATTCTATATTTCATATTCTATGTTTGTTTACAGATGGTGATGTATATTGAAGCTTGCTTTGCTGGTTCCTTATTTGACAATATGCTTCCTGATGACATCAATGGTATTAAAGTGTGCATAATTTATTCAAATATCATTTATCTAGAATGAAAGTGGGGCAGCTCAGAAAGTGGGTTTATAATAAAACTGATATATTCACTCGATTAAGTATAAAAAAATCTCGTCCAATTTGATGTTATGATAATATGAGGTGTCTGTTATTTTATTCAAAAATTCCAGGCATTGTAAATAAATGAAAGAACTACAATTAAAACAAAAAGTTGGATGATCCCGAGTTGTGCTGCTTTCATAATAATTATGCAATATACAATCAGGACAAGTGGGGTCCAAAGCAGAAAAATGTTGGGATCCTTTGATATAAAGTTTGAATTTAGAACTTATAAATTTAAAATATTTTTATTGGTTTGCTTCATTATATATGGAATTTTTAAAAAACGTTTTAGGTTATTTGCAAAATTTTCAATTTGGGATATTTTAAGAGGCTGGGACCTTGTACAGCCACTTAGTATGCAGATACTTAATCTGCTTCTGCATTCTTACTATCTTCTTCTTAATAAGTGTAGTAATAACTATAAGTATTTTAATTAAAACACCAAAATTACAGTATTTGCGATTACTGCTGCTGATGCTAGAGAGCCATCTGAAGGATGTTTCAGAGACGATGAACAGAATACATGGCTAAGCAATGTCTTCAGTACCCTCTGGATGAGTTTTGCAGAACATGTTAGTTTTTTCAATTACTTTTTAGAAATAGAATATTTCAACTGCAAATTTTTATGTGGCATAGACTTTTTTAAATTTAAAAAATGAGAACTATACATGTCAGGCTATGAACAGGCTCTTGAAGGAGAGAAGGTAGGAATAATATAAATAAAGTCCTCATACATAAGGGCCCACCAAACCGCTGCTTTCGACAGATCGTTCCTTATCCGATCCTCATCCCTATGGAACTCCATCCCTCCTGGCATCCGTCAATCCAAAACCCTTCCTACCTTTAAAACCTGTTCAATCATTTCTTATCCATCCAGTCCCCATAAAATTGTAAATACTTACTACTGTAAATATGTATATAAATTATTAGATCGTTTTTCATTATTTTTACTTCATGTTTATTTTCATTTTTTTATTATTAACTGATTTAGATTAGATAGTAACTTATAATTTATTTTATTATTTTGACTATTTACTAACTCTATATTTCTATTTATGTATCTCTGAGGCTCCTTAGCCCACACTTTTGTCTTTCTGTATTATTCTAAAGGGACTCATCCCAGAATAAATGAAGCATTATTATTATTATTAAAGTAGTAGCCAAGTTATGATTTTATTATGTGGATATTATATTACAATTTATTAAAACTTTTTGTGAGTTATTTTAAGTTAATTACTGTAGTAGAGAGGCCAGAAAACCGTTCCCTTCATAAAACATTGTGGAGATAGAAGAGGGTAGAAAGTACCTTTCAACACCGGTGCCGGCGCCCATGTACGTTAGTAATAATCATATTCATTAAATTTGATTAGGTTTGGTTGTATTTAATACTCTGTGGATTCATCCTTATTGTAATCATTACTTATTTACCCTTACCCTTTTATCATCAATGCCTAAAGTCTTTTTTAACTTTAAAAGTTTGTAAGAGATTTGGATTATATGATAAAAAAAAATTCATTTATATATATATATATATATATATATATATATATATATATATAATTCACTAGTCTATATACTAGAATTTTTTTTATCATATAATCCAAATCCCTTACAAACTTAATATGTATATATATATATATATATATATATATATATTATTTATTTTTTTTTTTTTTTCGGTTGACACTACAGACCATGAAGATCTTTGGCCTTGAGATATAGTCTCCTTATAGACGTATGTTGCTTGCGGGAGCACAGATAGCCTGGAGGAGGTCACCCAACCTCACGTTGCTACAAACCAGGGCCTCCATGAAATGAAATGAAATGAAAAAAATGAAAAAAAATGTTTTATTATTCTGGGACTGTTGTCCCTTAAGAACAAAATATGAATACAGATTATATGTCTGTGTGGCTACAATTAAATTGTATATTTACAATGAAAGTTGACTTACGATAAAAATACAGAAAAGAGAAAAAAAAGAACAAGTAAATTGTACATATGTATGAGAAACTAAAATAACCTTAATAAATTGAGGTAATCTCTGGTGGTGCTCAGATATTTCTCTAAGATATATTTCACAATCATTCGGATTGAGAAAGGAGTAGGTGCTTAAAGAGGAGTGGTTTAAACGAGGAAACTGATTGAGCATGTCGAATATCAGCTGGGATGGAATTCCAGAGGGAGGTGGCTTGTATTGCAAAGGATTTGTCAAACGCAGCAGTTCGGTGAGGAGGAGGATAGAGGTCGGAAGTACGAGATCTGGTGGGACGGGATTGGATGGAATATTTGAATTGTAAGCTGTGAAAAATATAGGAGGGTCGATGGGTTCTAATAATTTGGTACAGAAAGGTGGCTAGGAAGTACTGACGGCGATAGGATGGGTAGAGCCACCTCAACTCAGTGTAATACTGGGTAATATGCGTATCCCTTGAGATTCCGAAAACAAATCGTAGTGCGCAATTCATTAGGTGTTTAAGTTTGGCCTCGGAATCTCCCGGGAGTCCACCGTACACCATACAGCCATAGTCGAAGTGGGGGAAAACAAGGGAGGAAACTAGGAGTTGACGGGACTTATATGGAAGGAGATATCGTAGACGATTGAACTGTTTTAGGGTGGAGATAGTGCGACGGGAAATTTGGGAGATGTGAGGTTTCCAGGATAGGGATTGATCGAAAGTAATACCTAGGTTTTTAACGGTGGTGTAGAATAAGATAGGTGAGTTGTTCAGGAAGAGATTGGGAGATACTGGGGAGGATTTGAGGAGTGAAGGGGATCCGATCAAGATGGCTTTTGTCTTCTCGGCGTTCAGAGTGAGCCTATTGAGGTTTGCCCAAGCACTTATTCTGTCAATATCTTCCTGAAGTTTTTGAGTGGCATCTGAGATATCTGTCGGATTAAAGGAGAGGTAAATTTGAATGTCGTCGGCATACAGGTGGTAATGACAGTGCAGGATAGAGGATGGGAGGTCATTTATATAAATGGAGAAAAGGGTGGGGGATAAGGAAGCGCCTTGTGGGACGCCTCTGGTCAGAGGTAGAGATTCTGATGGTGGGTTATTAGGAATTACAACGTACTGGGAGCGACCGGTTAGGAAGGATTGGAACCAATTAAGGGAACTAGAAGAAAAAGAGATATTTTTAAGTTTAGTTAGGAGGATGTTGTGGTCTACTGAATCAAAAGCTTTGGAGAAGTCTAGGAGAATAAGGATGGTTAGTTTCTGCTGATCTATGGCTGTGAGAAGGTCTTGGGAAATTTTGATTAGGGCAGACTGAGTAGAATAACCAGGCCTGAATCCAGACTGGTAGGGATTTAGGAGATTATTGTCCTCTAAAAAATGGGATAGCTGGGATTGGACTAACCGCTCTAATGGTTTTGAGAGGTTTGAAAGGAGGGAAATCGGTCGGAAATCATTAGGAACTGATGGGTTTGAAGTCTTCTTCAATGGGCGTACTAGGGCGGTTTTCCAGGATGTAGGGAAGGTAGCATTTTGAAGAGAATAATTGTATATATGATAAAGGATCGGAAGAATGGATGGCAATGCGGCTTTAATCAGTCTGACTGGGATGTTGTCGGGACCGTAATCATTGGTATGGGACTTCTGAATGGATTTAAGGAGCTCATCTGGTGTAATATGGGAAAGAAAGAAGTGATCAGGATTAAAGGAAGAGAACATAGGAGCCAGACTGGACGTGGGAGATGTGGATGCAAGAGGACAGGAGACAAAGTGAGCGTTGAGGTTATCAGCAGAAACGGAATTGGACTGAGACTGGGGTGTATTACCAATGGTCAGTTTTCTAAGAATAGCCCACGTAGCCTTGGTATTGGGAGAGTTGGATAGGGAATGATGGTAGTAACGGGATTTAGCACGGCGTACTAATGATTGAGTGCTATTTCGAAGCTGTTTGTAGGAGAGAAAATCATCAGGAAGTCGAGTTCGTTTAAACCGTCGCCTTGCAGCATCTCTTTCTCTCATACACTCCCTCAAAGCAGGGGTAAGCCAAGGAGCTGGAGGATATCGGATGGTTTTTGTGATAAGAGGAGCATGTCGGTCGAGGATAGAGTGAAGTTGAGTGGTAAGGATTTCTACCATGGTGTCTATGGATTTTGAGGAGTAGATGGGATCCCACTGGATATCGTCAAGACCTTCTGACAATGTTTCGTGAGTGAGATAATCTAGGTTTCGGAAGGATATTGTTCGGGGAGAAAAGGATGGAACAGGGACATTGTAAGAGATCTGGACAAGATCGCGGGAGGATAGAAACGGAACCGGGTGCTGAGATGCGGCAAGGAGTTTGTCTGAGGAATCCAGGATAATTAGATCGAGCCAGGACTCTGAATACTGAGTATGATGGGTTGGATTGTAGGGTACTATGTAAAGGCTGAGAGAATTAAAGAGGTTTGTTAGGTAGGAATAATCAGAGGATGGTGCCAGTAAATTGGTGTTAAAGTCACCGGAGAGGATGATGTTTGAGTAGGAAGGGATTAAGTTGTACAATAAAGTCTCAAGTGATTCATCGAAAGGAATTCTAGGAGGGCGATATATGACAGCAAACAGAATGGCAGATGAGGTGGTGAGGATTTCGGCGAAAAGGTATTCAACGTGCGGAGAATCGGTTATGGAAGAGCAGTGAAGGATTTTGGATTTGAGACTGTCATGGACAAAGAGACCCATGGTGTCACTCCATGGTGCAGTGACAGGTCACCCATAGCTCCATAGCCGATCCTTTGGGGCCAATCTGGCAGTGTCCTTCCCACCTACTCACTCGGGTTCAAGGACAGTGACAAATCGGTCTAGATCCATAGATTATGGCTGCTCAGAATCTGCAGGGGCATGAGGACCTATATTTCTTTCCCGGAAACAGATCGTTCATGGACCAAACCTCAGGGAGGCTACTAACATCGTGGTAAACCACATCCTGGTTCCCGATTTAAGTACACGGGGTAGCGTCATCAGTCCTACGCCCAGTCAATGTGAGTTACCTCCAGTAGGCTGACGGGCCTCACATACCATGGGGTATGTGATAACTTGATAACTTAACTTTGAGGAGAGATACTTTCTCTGGTGGACGGTTGCCCAAATTGGGCAGTCACCCATCCAAGTACTAACCACGCTTGACGTTGCTTAACTTTGATTACCTATTGCAAGCGCCTTAGCCCGTACGGCTACCCCGGCCCCATATATATAAACAGCAGAATGAAATTAAATAAAAAATAACAATGCTAGGTTCTCTGAAGATAATATGGTCAAAGTCCTATCACGCACAAAAGAGAAAATGTGTTTTTAAAAATTCAAAGAGAAATGCGATTGAAGTTTTATCGTCATTAAGTTTTAGGTTATTATTGGAAAAATTCCAAATTACACAGCCTTATGTCTCCAAAATATAGGCAATGAAAAACCCGCCAACGTTTCATCAATTCAGGCATCATCTGGACAGAAAAGAATAGTTAATCAAACATCACTCCATAAAATCCAATTTCATACTTAAAAAAAGGTAAAGGAACGTTATAATCAAACAACAAAACAAAGGTTTTGTTACAAAGGTTCGAAATGTTGACAGGTTTTTCCATGCCTGCATTTTGGTGACATAAGGCTGTTTGATTAGGAATTTTTACAACAATAATCTAAAATTTATGTTCTGTCTCTTGATTATTTTGTTACTAATTTATAACAATTTTCATTAAGAGTTACAGACCAATTTGAGGTCAATCCTCTTCAGTCCATCTTACAAGGTCATGGAGAAGTTGGTTAGGGAATGCAGTCAAGAAGCAAAATACACTGTGAATGTTAAACTTTTATTAAGGTGGTATGTTCTACCTCATACACAAAACACGATAGAACAAGTTATTTATTTTTATAAGTGGCCCAAAGATATAGTTTCCATAGGAGATTACTTTTGATTCAGATAATAAAATATGTTAATTTATAAAATAAATTCGATTTGTAAGCAAAAAACCACAATTATATTTCTCAAGCCAATTATTAATAATATTCAAGGTACTATATGCAACTGTCGGTTACTAGGTAGTGAGTTCATCTTAAGCCCTTCCACCAAGTATATGCTTACATATGGTGTATTTGGTTAGGTATCAAACTATCATTATTAACAAAAAAAAAAAAACCTGCACCACTGCAACCCATGAAGGGTCTGTGGTTCAGTACTATTTAGGGAAAGCATTGTTTCTAGGTCAACGGTTTTGCAAGGAGGTGATTTGACCGAGATCACGCTCAACCTCCAGGTTTTCCCCCCTAATCAACTTTTTAATTAAGGATACCCACTTTATAGAGGCTGGATGTGCCCCGGGAGGGTCTCCTGACCCAGAGTCGTCCCACGGTCAATGAAACAGATAAATAAATTTTCTGCCATAAGCTGGGGTTCGAACCTGGGACTTTTGCATTGGAAGCTCAGTGCCCTACTACTGAGCTACCCCACTCCCCATTATTAACCAAAAGCTGTAATAATTTCATCACTAATTTATTTGGGCAAATTAACAACGTAATAGTTATAATATTATTTATGGTTAGGCATGACCTAATGTCTCACAGGATGTATATAACACCAGCTTCAAAATCTTAATTAATGCAATAATTATTTTAATGTTTAGGAGAGTTTCTCAGAAAAAAGTCTTCATCATCATTACGAAAAGGTTCGGAGCTATACAAACACAAGTCATCCACAGGAGTATGGTGATCTGGATGTGGGTGTAATGAAATTGAAATACATAATTGGAGAGAGAGTAAAGACAAAAAGAAGATTGCCACCACGTATCACACCATTACCAACAGTACTGATTTATATTATTAATATATTATTACCAAGCATATTTCTTATTATATATGTGTACAGGGTGTTTCCTCTACATAAAAAGATAACATTTTTGGATTTTAGAGCAAAATAATAGTGAAAAAAAAGGTCCTATGTAAATGGGTCAGACAATGAAGTCTTAAGCAATTTTCAGAAAAAAAAAATACGTTTTGGAGTTTTTGATAATTTTTTTTTTTCTGTTTTGCCAAAAAGAGAGAAAAAATAACAGTACTAATACAACCAGTGCAGTCTTGGATTCAGTACCTTATAAGTAAGTACTGTTGTTTATTCAATAGTTTGAAGGCAGATGATTTGACCTAGATCCTACTCAATCATCAGGCTTTTCTAATTTTTTAATTATTTAATCAACCACTTTATGGAGGTTGGATATGCCTCAGGAGGATTACCCAATCCTAGGGTTGATGTGGATTTAGTTTAGTAGTGGTACTGATGGAGTATAGTAAATGATTATCTACCACATCAGATATCTAACTCAATCAAAAGAGTACAGTGCTTTACTCACTGATTTAACCAGAGAAAAAGAAGAACATAGTAACAACTGATAGACTGCCACTTTTTAATTTTTATCGACACATTTCTTCAGAAAGTTAATATGTAAAATGTGAGAGAAATCTTAGGACTTAACTTTATGAGAACAAAACTCTTTCAGCTTACTATAGTAAAATCTATACAATAACTCCCCATCTCTTAAATTATTTGGAAGCTTTGTTTTAAAATTTTTGTTGCTTTTGAAAGTTTATCATATGATCAAATATAAACTTAAAAAATAGCATGTATTTGAGCTCTAATAGAATTCAAGTGATAAAATTGAGCAAAATAAGATTGAGTTTGAACTTTGTGAATAATTATCATTTTATATTTAATTAAAAACTAATATAACAGTGCTTCTGGGAGATTTGGTAGGGACTGAGGGTGTGGCCTGAATTCAGCCACATGTATAAGGTTGTCAGGCATGGTACTGTCAAAATGCCTCTCACTTCTACTTTATTAACACGCGTTAATAAAATATAAACTAAATATATTTATTAAGATAATATAGGATGAGAGAAAAAAAAACACGAGAAATATGGAAGTTTTGAAGCTGGGAACACTATTTTTAGCTAAACAGGATAAGACATTCTACATTATGAGCTAAGGGCTGGCAGGCGATAAGATAGCAGTGTCTCCATTGTCGTGATGTATTACCACTCCCACCACTTTTCTTTAACGCTAGTTATTTTTACAAATATGGGTCAGAAAAATACGGACTTTTGGTGATTTTATTGTCATAACCTAATTTTCAACGATGAAGAAAAAATTGAAGATTCATGCTAGTACCCATTGTACCAGATTCGTTTCTTCAACAAGTGTCTAAAGACGTCTTTTTTCTTTATTTTGTCCCAAAAAACCAGAACTTTAATCGGAAAACTATGGAGCCCTATATGGCTCAGTGTTGTATTTGCTATAAAACTCCCAAAGGTTATACTTTTGTGGAGGAAAGGACGGGAGGTCGGTATCTGTGATTATACATTTTAAAAATATTTCTTCCTCTTTTAGTTAATTTTATTTTTTATATTTAGAATTTGAAAACAAGGAAGTTTATAATAAGCTAAAATTTTGTAGTCATTGCACTGTGAAGTTCAGACGAAATTAGAAATCGGTTGATAAAATATTAGAAAAGAATAAAAAAATGGGTTTTCAAGAAATATTTTTTTGAAATTACGTTATTTGGAAGGTTAAAAATTATTCACAAGTTTTAGCGATTCTGCAAAAAAGAGAAAAAGTTTGCAATTTTATTGACATCGTATGAAAATGAGCTGGTTATTTCTGACAAATATAAATCTAAGGCTGTATTGAAATCGAGATGCAGTGAAAATCGTGAAGCAAGTCACAGTTATTTCCCGAACAAGCATACCAAGAAAAGAAAAAAAAACAGTTTCCATCCTCTACTGCTTCCTCAACGAATTTCAGTTGAAAAGGATCTATATATTGACACTAAAATGATAAAAAGTCGGTACATTTCTATTTAGCAAACAATAAAACAACACAGAGATAATATTTATTCAAATTAATTTTTTTTCTCCCTTTAAAAAAAAAAAAATAGCTTTACCGTAACGAAAATCTATTTATTATGCTATCTATCTAGGAAAACTAATTAATTTGTTTTGTTATATATCCTGGACCCATTAGTGAGACAGGGTGTCTCAGTTCTTAATAGCGAAACCCTGGAAGGTAATCTCCCTTTTGAAAAACAGCTTTACCGTAACAAAATTTATTTATAATTCAAACTTCATTTAAAATAAATTGTTTAAGAAGAAAGGAAAACCAATTAATCTTTTTTCTTTTATAATTATTTAGCCCTCTCAGACAGGTAAAAGATATCACCGCGGAACGTTTCAAGAATTGATGAAAAATTCAAATTGTACAGGGTAAGGGTGTCTCAATTCTTAATGGTCAAACTCTGAGAGGTGATTCTAGAGAAAATTACATTTGATTTTTGGGCCGATTTTGAACGGACAATGAGTTAGGTCCAATTTTATCTTTTCTAAAGGTGGTCACATTTTCTCTTTCGTAGAAAGCGACAAAACAAAAAATATTGAATTCTGGAAATCAAAGATTGCTTTATGGTGAACTAAAACAAATTTCCTTCAAAAGCAAGAGTTTGTCCTTGTCAAAACCATTAAAAGGAGATTTTTGCACGGTCATACTGCGTTAAGTTGTGGTTTTCATTAAATCGTGGATTATTTATAATTTTTTGTTATTATCCAACAGCTGGACAACAGATACTTAAGAAAAGAGAGGGATTAAAAATTCTTGGTTGTTATATCTCCTGAAAGTACAGATACTCTGGAGCTACACAATATCAAGTCACATAATTTTTTACATAACTCGAAGTGAATTAGAATCTATAATAAAACCCCAAATAAATTGATATCAACTTAAAGATTATTTAACAAGGAAGTGTATTTAGTTGAGTATCTAATATAATGAAAAACACAACTTAGCGTAGTATAGCCGTTCGGAAGTCTGCTGATAATGATTTAGCAAATACAAACTTGTGTTTTTGAAGGAAATTTGCTTTTGTTTACAATAAAGCAATCTTAAATTACCTGAATTCAAAATGTTCTGTGTTATCGCTTTTTATGAAAGAGAAAATGTGACCGCTTTAGGAAAAGACTAGATTGGGTCTAACTCCGTTTTTTTTCCGTTCAAAATCAGCCAATTAATCTAGTGAAATTTTTTGTTAGAAATTTTGTCTAGAATCACCTCTCAAAGTTTGACCATTGAGAATTGAGACACCCTGTATAATTTGAATTTTTCATCGATTCTCGAAACGTTCCACGGTGATTATTTTACTTGTCTGAGAGGGCTAAATTACTATGTAAGAAAAAAAAATGAATTGGTATTCCTTTTTTCTTAAATAATTTATTTTAAATGAAGTTTCAATAATAAATAAATTTTCGTTACAGTAAAGCTGTTTTTCAAAAGTGAGGTTACCTTCCAGAGTTTCTCCATTAAGAACTGAGGCACCCTGTGTCACAAACGGATCCAGGATTTAATTTTGGGAGGAGGGGCTTCAACCAGAAAATTTTTTTTTGTATGTATATATTTGGAAAATTAATTCGGAAGAAAGAAACTAACTACCAACATGAAATGGTGTTTAAGTGATTATTTAATTCCAAGTAAATGTAATTAGACGAATAATAAAATTTGTAGAGATAATTTTTTTCATAAAACGTGGTCATATTTCACTATTTTGGGGGGATGGGTACTTCAGCCCGAAAGTCCCCTCCCCTCCCTTAGATCCGCCTGTGCCCTGTACATTACATGAAATATATTTATTTTGTTTTGATATAAATCGGGAATTACTTTTACTAATTAAAAATCATTTTTATTTCAGGATGTGATAAACAGTATCGACATTCCCCTTCAAATTCTTGTTGAGCAAATAAGAGCCGCTACCGATCCTCTGAAGAAAAAACAGCTCAAATGGGAACACAAAAGTCTCATTGAGGTAGAATTGAGTCATTTTCGTTTTTCTATTTATTAAATAAATTAAGTAGCCGTCTTCTTAAAAAACATTTTTTTATAAAATGAAATTTTTTTTTTCTAATTCTCCTTTATTTGAACTTTATTTAAACAAATACAATACATAAATATACAATATACAAATATATAATAAAATTCAATGATACTTTATATGATCGATATAATCACATACAATTTATTGTTTCAGAGAAGGGAATCACTTGATAAATTATTCAATGACATAATGGAAAAAGTGACAGAAAATGACAAAATAAAACTGAATGAATTGAGAACATCAAAAATGGGTTTGAACAGGGGTAATTTCAAATGTTATAAGGAACTATACAGAATTTTTTCCAATTACTGTATGAATCCATCTCAGGTAAACAATATTATCCGTACAATGAAGTATATTATACCGTTGTATTGAAGTACCCATGAGAGGAAAAGAAGGATAACGGTTCCTCCTTTTAAAGTGGGAAAATTTAACATAAACTATGAAAAAATAAAAACAAATTGATTTATCGTTTGTGGTAGTTCTGCTAGAAAGTTCTTTATCATTAATGGTCCGTGATATATTCAACAGCATCATATTTACATGTTAGGATTTGAAACTTTTAAGCACAAAATAAAAACCTTTTTGCTGCGTAAGTTATAAGTATTTATTTATAAGAATTTCTAGTACAATTAAAATTTCAATTTCCACAATTATCAATTTATTTATATTTTTTTTTTTCAAATTTTATTTGGCCAATACTCATAGGCGCAGCCTTTCCATTTTGATTGGAAAGGAAACGATGGTACAAAACAAAAGGAAGAAAAAAAAATAATAAACTGGCGGAAGTTTTTATTATTTGTATAAATTCAACATAATTATTGCGAAATGAACAAATATAATATTGAATATTTAAAACTGTTTATTTGTTTATAGAGCTGTAAGGGTTTTTATTTATTTATTTTTTGTTTTACATCTTATATATACTTGAAAATATCTCAGAAAAAAAATACAATGAAATATATAAGTATTTAATTAGATTAAACAAAGGTGGAGAGAGACAGCCTTCATAACATGGGTCATTTCTAGAAATTTTTAGCTCAAAATGAATAACGTAAAAAAGCGAAAAATATCTTTGATTTCTTAGTGTATACAAGCTCAAATAAAAATACGTTTTTCACAGTCCGACTAGTTTTCCGCAGAAAATGTGACAAGAATATCACGTGGAAATTGAGGAAAAATTGCATCATAGGATCCTAGGACAGGTTGATATAAATCATTGTCTTCAAATATAAATGACAATTTAAATAAAGTAACATTTAGGTTTCAATAAATAGTTAAATAACTACTACTAGGTCCTAGCTCAGCCAACTAGTCGACTTTTCTTAATCGATTTTATTTTACACAATTCATTCATTCATATAGCTTAATTATTCTTGAATTTAATTTTTTTACCTCAAATTATTGAAGAGAGGGGAGGGCGAAATGATATTCTCGGCCTCTCAACATATTTATTGGGGGAGATGGGAGAGATCGCCTCCCTCGTCCCCTTGAAGTCTGTGGCTAAGCCAGTCCTTTAAAAAGTTCCCTTATTTATTTAATTTATATATATGTATATATGTATATATATATATATATATATATATATATATATATATATATATATATATATATATATATATATATATATATACATCCCGATTCCCGATTTAAAGTACGGGGTAGAGTTATCAATCTTATGCCCGGTCGGTGTGAGTTGCCTCCAGTAGGCTGACGGAGCTCACACACCCGGAAGAGGAGGGAGGAATCTCGGGCAGCGTGGCTTTCCTTAACTTAGGCACTTTTCACCTACAGGAAGGCACATATTCTTATTTGTTACACATTCAGCACTTCTAATTTTAAGTTGGTTTTTACTATATTTTACAGAATCCATATTCCAGCCTGCATTTTCAAAAGTTGGTTAATATGTGCTCCGTTGACTGGCTATATAAAGATAAGGTCAAGATGGACATAGCAGCAATGTGCACGGTATCATATGGAGCAACCAGGCCAGAAAATATCATGTGAAACTTTTCGACAAAAAGGCGAAAACCGTTGGAGATATTTGACCAAATATTGTAAATAAATACATTATTTTATTTAAAACTGTAATTTTATGACCTGAACATTTCATAATCTTAAATAATAAAACGATAGCATTAACGATACCTTTTTCGGCTTCAGGAGTGATGTATTTTGATGAATGAGGTTTCAAACGAAAGGGTATTAAATTGCTTTAAAGTATACATTGCTTTCATGATCAGTCAAATAATTATTTGAAAGTTTATTAAATTCCATAAAAAAAAAAAAATCATCAAAATCTATTAGACATTTGTAAATTTGAAACAATGTGTACCAACCCAAGAGACAAAGTGGGTTCAATTATTTTTTTATGGAAAAAAATAGTTGAGATTCGTATTTCATATCCCGAAAGACCCTCAAGTATGAATTTTCATAGCCAACAAAAATGAAAATTTGTTCTACGAATGGAGCCTATGCTCCCACCTAGGATTTTTTTTCGAAAATCACTAAACGTTTGATAACTTCAACATGCTTCCATCAGGAATATAGGGCTACATATAACTTCACGTAAGAACCTGAGACGAGTTTTTATTTATTTATATCTTAAGGAGATGTTAAATCAAAAAGTTATTGATATCGCTTTGAAGAGCAATAATTATGCTTTACAAAGATTATTGTAACATTGAATTAGGAGAAAAGTTTGAGGAGTTATGAATGATTTCGTTAACAGCTGTCAAATTCTCTACAAAAAAACAACATGGAAATCGGGTCATTATTAATAAAGATACAGCCTATAGTAATGTACACATGTTTTGGATTATTAGTTTTAAGAACTCATGTGATCCCACTGAGAAAAAGAAAATTAACAAGGTAGGTTGGAGTCTATGGGTTTCCAGAAGGAGAAAGTCTTCGTCAGCAATGGAGGATCCTGGATTTAATAATTGGGGGAGAGCATTTTTATAGTTCAATAGCGGTAATTATTCAGAAAGAAAAATAAAGAAACTGTATAAAATATTGTTTAGGGAGTCCTTGAAAGTCTGTATAAAAACTTTACTTACAGTAACAATACAGGATTTGTTCCAACAAGCAGTCCAAAACATGCTGCCATATATATAATATACCATAATATCCCCTTAATTAGGGAAGGTCTACAAGTTGTAAGACTTGTAAGAACAGTCAGAAAAAAAAATAATAAGATAGAGTCACGAACTGGAACAGACCCAATATTTATAGGAAAAAAGCAATTTTTTTCATCACACATGCTTAGCTAAAATACATGTATTATAATTTAAAAAGAGTACATATTTTGTTTGTTTAAATATTTAGCTCGCATCATTCACATAAATAAATATGGACAATAAAAAAAAAAAAGATATTCCCATTTTGGGATTTTCTTGGATCTATCAGTGTTAGTCAGTGTCAGCAAGCATTTCACGAGTTACATAACAACTGAGCAAAATATTACTAAAGGTTATAAAGTCAAGTTATAAACAAAAAAAGGTTATAAAATTCATTACAATGACATAAGGCCTAAATTAAATAAAAGTTTATCTATATCTTTTATTACAGTGTATAATAAGGTCATAAAAGATATATTTTTTTTAGTAGCTTATATATTTTTAAAATTACGTTAGACATGTAACTATGGGTAACGTATGTACGGTCGAAAGAATACGTGTAGAGTTTTGTTGAACTGGAAATATTATTTTTATGGGCGTGAAAAATACGCTGCCCATCAGAAGAAATCTTATAGCTATTAGATGAAGACCCGGTTCCACATCAATGTAATGTAGAAGATTATTTCGCAGCATTTTGACATGGCCGAATAGATGACGGTGCATTTGTAAAAGAAGATGTTGATAATCCTAGTGTTAAAGGTCATGGTTCAACCTTCTCATTTCAGGTCACACTGCTGTAATCAATGGACTTCGGAAGGTATTTCGGTTTGAAGAATGTCAAAAAATCAGGTAAATGAATGAAATATTTATGTTAACCTATTCAGTGTATGATAAAATAAGAAAACCACTGAGCAAAAATTGTATTAATACCGGTGCATCGCATCTAAATCTTGGGTACAATAAACAATCTTAAATTTACATTTACTGACAATACTTCCTTGCATTGATATAAACCTCCTATCAGTTCCAATATCTTACACGTTTAACTTGAACAGTACAAATAAGGTTATGGAATCGATGTTGTATTTTAATGGAGTACTATGGTTAGTTGTTGCTATTAAATGATTGTGCTTAATTTCTTTTCTTGGACGAATTCCTTCAAAAATTTAACTTTAGTCAAACCATAAGGTTCTGTATTCAGCGAATAAAAAATAAATAAAAATAAAATGTAATATAACGTTGTTTAAGTATTACTAGTATTTAAACTATGTATTATCTAGTATTAAAACAATACTAGAATTTCACATATTATTTACAAAGTTAAGGGTGAAAGTTGAAATTAATATTTAATAAATGACGGGCCGGTATAGAAAAGTGGTTAGCGCGCTATACTAGTAAGCTATACTACTAAAGCAAAGATCATAGGATCGAAGCCCTACTTCCCACAATGGCTGGTCATCGCGGGAAGTTAGACCATAATACCCCCTTAAATAAGAGAGGCCTATAAGTCGTACGACTTGTATGAACAGGCTGAATCCCTCCGCCCCCTCCAAAAAAAAAAAAAAAAACCAAGATAGACTCACGAAATCTCAACCTTCCGACTGTGGATCAAATGGTTTGGTAACCTTTATTGGGTGTATAGGGTGGGATGTTTCCTGCCCTTGCTGGATAACACAAGGATGTTATCCCCAATGAAAATATAATAAAGTTACAAAACGTAATATTTCATAATGTGTATTTAATCATTTTTTTTTTTTTTAGAACCAAGGATCGAAGATCATTTTCCAGCGGTGTTCGCATCGGTGGATCATGTGGTGTGGATCCTAACGGCCTATTTCTTTTTCATCGTAATCGGCCAAAAAGTGATGTTTAAGCGGAAACCAGTAAAATTAGGGTTTATCATGCCACTTTACAACATTTTGCAAGTTATAGCCAATTTGTTTTTGGCACAGTGGGTTAGTAAAATATCGACCGAAGCATGGTATCAACATTATGTTTTTTAATCTTAAAATAATAACATACAAATAATGAGTGAACATGGCGTATATGCAATGAAATTAGAGCTGGTAATATAGTTGTAAAATAAGTCAAGATTTATAAGACTTATATCGAAATCTTGAAAAAGTTTATAATAATTTCTTTATAACAATTGACCATGTAGAGTCCGTGATGATGCACAGTGAAACAACAGTCGATATTTGGGAAATACCGACTCTAATTTATTAATAATACACATGTAAAATTAAGTGCTGAGTCTAATGTTACTAAATCTGCATAATAGATTAATATGATAAATATATTAAATAAATGTATTAAATTATTCAGTATTTGTGTTTGGGTGTATTGGAGTGATGTACTGTCCCTAGATAATGTGTTTTTTCTAAATATATGAAAGATGCATATTTTATCTTATTTTATTATTTTATACATATATATCATCATTATATAAATGTTGATATATATGTATATCATATGTATGATATATATGTATATCCCTTTTCTCTTCTGTTATTCAACCAATTTTCTTCCTTCTTTTTTTGTTTAATAGCTGTTGGCGATCTTTACTGTTATCAATAAATACAAATATGAAATAGTGTATATAAATAAGAAAATAAATGGTATTTTTTTTCAAAACAGCTAAACTCCGAAAGTTCTTCACCAATTTCTTTGAAATTTTGATACAACGTCGCAATCAGATTTAGGAGTGTTTTTGCATACATTTCATTATCATCCGCTCTTTCTTTCACATGGCAGTGGAAAAACGTGACTCGCTTTAAACCGTAGGGCCAAAGCGGCTGCAACGATTAAAATCGTTGACTTGGCTAAAATCATCCCCTTGAAACGTTAATAATTTTTGTATATAACATAATTTTCCCAAAACGAGCTGCCTAAATTTTTACGATGAATTTAAAATTCTATTTGCCAATAACTCAAAAAGTATGCATTTTTGATTGATAATACGATATTTATTTAAATACTTTATGAATTCTCTACAAAATAAAAAATATGTCATCGAAATCGGACTATTTGGTGCAGAAATATATCGTTAAAAAATGTAGTATTTTTTCTTTTCCAAATACGATTACCTTTATTTTGGTTTTTGATAAATCGAAAAATTCACATTCACTGAAGTTATTATTTGAAGAGATGAAGTTATTTAATTATATGTATCTCTCAAATTTTCAATGATAATGATCGTAAATATATATATCTATTTCTTTTTCTGTTGGAACTACAGACAATGTAAATCCTTTCCCTTCTTAACAAGCCTGCTCCATCTCTGCCTGTCCTGGGGTATTCTTTCCATTTACCCGCGCGGAGAACTGTTGCATCTTTGTTGATTCTATTTATGCATCTGCTTTTTGGCCTTCCATGTGGTCTTTTGCTTTCTACTGAGGCATTTTACATAGCACCGACATTGTTACGTAGATGGATTGGCTTCATGTCCCGCCCATCTTTACCTCCGTGTCTTCATATCATGGGATATTGATTGACCAGTTTCTGTAAGCAGTTCTTTATTGGTCTTTCTTCTTCATGTGTTAGTACTCTGATCCAAGATCGCTTCGGTTATCTTGCGGAGGATTTCCCTCTCAAATCTTTGAATACTTTTTTAGTGCCCAGTTCCCACAGCCGTATATTAGAACTGGCTTTGTCATAGCATTGTACACCATCAGTTTGAGGTTTCTTAAGATTTTTTGGGATTTCAATATCTTTGAGAGGGAGAAGAAAGCTCTGTTTGCGCTAGTTGTACGCTGGTCTATTTATGCCCGTTGGTCATTCATTAAGGTTATTGTGGAGACGAGGTATTTGAATTTTTCTACTCTCGGGAATGATTTTCCTTCTACACAGATCCTGTTATTGGGGTGGAATTTTCGGCTTATTATTATAATTTTGGTTTGTCTATATATATATAGTATAATATAGGTATGTCTATATATATATATATATATATATATATATATATATATATATATATATATATATATATATGAAGTATTTAACTTTTGGGGTGAGGAGACCAACATTTATTTTTTTTAAATAATAATTTTAGGATTTCAGGCAGAGATACCTAACCTAAATGCGACCTCCTATATCACTGCCTAACCTAAATACAGTCTTCTTTTTCACCGCCAAACCTCGTTTACCACCACCTAACCTGAATGCGGTTTCCTCTATCGCTGGCCAATTTAGATGCGACCTCTAATAATAATAAGATTACCTGCCCATGACATAGAAAGGGAGCTTATACACCAAGAACGTTGTTAATAGAATCTAAATAAATTTCAATAAACTTTAGAAAGTTGCTCCTAAGGAGCAGTCCTTAGGTACGTTCAAAAACGCAAGCCTTAATGTTTTTACTTGGAATACATTTCATGGAGGATTATTTGTTCACTATGAACTGAATAGATGACTCTAATTAATAATAGTGATTATTATGTACATACCATTTATTGACATAAAAATAATACGATAGCATTATTTAATTGGATACTTTTTCAACAGCTCACCATAATTTACTACACATTCTTGTCTTCCAGGTTGTTGAACGCTGTTCTGCAGCTTACGGAATCTTCGGTGTGTGGAGTCACATTTGCCATCCGATTGGGAAATCTATAAATAAAAGAACCCAAATAGATGTAATGTGCATTTTGGTTTTCACAATATTTCATCTATTTTTCTATAAGAATCAATAATATAGAATAGGTTGATCAATTAATATCCAGCGATAGCCATAGGAATAAGTGTTACGAGGATGGACTATGTTTATGCAAATGTTTATCCTAGATCTGAAAATGTTTTGTATTATAAAATAATAATTTGATATGAACAAATATATTTTTAAGAAATATTCAATGTAAAAACAGCAAAAAAAAAAAAATAATAAATAATAAAAACGTTTCGACTTAATAAATTCCCAAAATGCATTTTCTAATATTGACTATGCCAAAATTAATGCCAAGCTATTTTATTTTCATTTATTTATTAATTGCTTCATATTCACGAATACACGAAGAAAATGTATTCTATTTTAAAATAAGCCGTTGGTAGGATGAGGGATGTTCGAGGCTCTGAACAGATGAAATTGTGCCTTATTATTAATTAATAATGCATTCCAGTATTTTTATCCAGGTTTAAATAAAAAGAGCCAATTTTTAGCAGTGATGTCCCATTTTCAATGAAATGAAACAGCCCTTTTCCTATTCTGGAGATGTGACCATAATAGTAATATCTATCAAGGCATTAAACGAGGCATGTGAAAGGCCAATTGGCTAGAGAAGTTGAAGAAATAGTGGTTTCCATAAATTAAGAAAAAACGAAAATAATGATACTAACGAAGATAAGACTTTCAAACTCACTTAAACGAACAGTATCAGTATTTAGTTGAAGTTTGAATGTGTCTCTAGCTTGAAGTATTTGGATACAATTGTCAATAATGGACTGGACAAAAAAGAAGAGTTAAAAAGCCGAATTATTCTGACATACAAAGAAAATCGGACATTAAGATGTTCCTTCAGGAATAAGCTATTCAGTCGCTGTACACAGATTGTCTTTTATAAATCTATCATCCATGTTCTGGACCATTCGGAAGAGCGTAGTTAAAAATTTAATAAGTGTAAACGGATTAAAGGCCCAATAGCAGGAAATTCTGTCTGAGGAGAAAAACGGAGACCTACAACGTTAATTCACATGGATGAATAATGGGAAAACAGCCAAAGCATTTTACTAGGGAACCCGAGATGAAGGATGACTTCGGTGGAGGATCGTAGGAAATGTGAAAGCAATCAGTAGTTCAGTTCCAGTGGGTGACAGAAATATCATTAAGAGGAACAACTGGCCAGGATTACTGGAGTGCAACGGCTAATATATAAAAATGCAGTGTAATATGCAATCATAATGATATTTTTCTGTTCCTCCTAAGAAAGAATAATAATATATGTTGAATGCTGAAGAAACCATAAACCATAACCAGCATCACAACTTAATGATTTGTTAGTGGTTCAAAACCAAATATAAAACAATCAGTTTATATTTAAAAGGTGACTGATCTGAACAGTTACTAACAAAGCTGTTTTGGGGTGTTATGTATGAGGAGAGGAGAAAGGAGTCTAGAAAACTAATGCTACAAAATTGAAGCCACGTTGTATAATTTTTTAATATTTAAAATTACGACCTAAGGGATTAGAGAGAGCTGCTTGCTGTCACACTTATTGTTTATATTGGTGCTTGATGAGCTCAAGAGAGCTTCCTACTTCTGCAGCAGGAAGGCCGCGAGCAATCCATTGGGGTCTCGAAAGGCGACTGGAGAGGGTTGAGTATGCGGACGACACATGCAAAATGGTCCTTCATATCCATGGAAAGTTGGACAAGTAGGCAAAAACACCCATTGGCATGTCGGGGAAATAAGTTTAGGCACAAGGCTCCACATATTCAACTCCAACGTGAAGTAGCACGGCCTTTATGGCCCAGAGACGTGTAAGGTAACCCGATCCATCTTAACCCGTCTGCAAACCTTCTGTAATAAATGCTTGAGGTCTATCTTGGGATTTGGTGGTCAAGAACCATTTCCCATGAGGAGCTACAGAGAAGGAACAGACAGAGGAAAACAGAAGACGAAATTAGACTAAGAAAATGGAGATTGATCGGACACTTCTTAAGTAGGAAGGAAGGCATCGCCCAGGAAACTTTCGAGTGGAATCATCCGGGACTACGTCGAGGTGGCAGGCTGAGGAGGAAGGACGCAGAGGAATCCTGTCCTGGAAGAGGCCAGGAGACATCACACTTGGTCCATTCTCTAGCGTAGGCGCCGACTACTAGGAGCTTGTGGGGCTTGACCCCCCTCAATGCTGCCGCTACAAGGAATCAGTCCCCCCCCCACGAATTGCTATAGTATGAACTTAATGGACATTTCGGTCGTGTACATTACAATTCCATTACAAAGGAATTTATCTATCTACTAACAGGTGAAGTGAATGCAAGTCAAGTCTATTGTAAAACAATTTATATATATCCCAGGTTGTGGAATCATTAATAAAGGTAATCATTTTAAGTTTACTAATATCAGGAGTATATACGTTGTGTAACAAACCACGGATGATAAATATTACGAGTTGTAATTAACGTTTAATGATATTTAAAATTTAATTTAAGCCGTGTATGTTAAATTTCATTAATAAATGATACATTTTATTAATTGAATATATATTATATTTTTTCCAGCTAGTTAAACTCATGATGTATTACTACTTCAACAAAGTCTCAGATCTTATGGACACGGTAGGTAAATACATGTTTCAATTAATTCCTTTCATTGGTATGAGATAAATAAAATGTTTTATTATGCGTTTAGATTTTCCTTATTTTGAGGAAGAAACGAGCTCATGTAACGTTTCTTCACTTATTCCATCACTCGACTATGGTGGCCAGCTCTTGGATAAGCATTGCCTACTACAGAGGTTTAGCTCGCTTTATCTATTCATTAACATTATCTCTATATTTATGTATTTATTCATTTAATTTTCAGAAAATATGTGCCTTATATTTGGGTTGATCAACATGGTGGTCCATTTTTTCATGTATACCTATTACTTCTTGTCATCATTCGGTCCAAAGATGCAGAAATTTCTTTTTTGGAAAAAAGTATTGACGATAATGCAGTTGGTATGTTATAGTTTAATAAAATGTCATCTATATAATACATAAAATATAAGAATACAATATATCGTCTGTGCGCTAGCGTTTTTGTTTCTCGATTCTGCCGTTTCCATCTGTTGTCGGTTTTAGGAGCGATTAAAATCGGAAGCTTGGGTAAGCGCTAGTGCCATTGTTAGTTGACTACACAGACTACGATCATTCTCGGTCAGCCAGGAATGACACTCTCGAGACTTAACATACTTAGACAAGAGTTACTTCCATCACGACGTTCCCTATAGGAATCAATCAGACAAACGACATTTCAGCTCTATTGACTTTGAGACACTTGGCAGTTTGGAGTTAGTGGGATTATAAAAACTCTATAATACACAAAATCGTTCTAAAAAAGTTAGAGATCTATGAGCTGTAGTATTTAAACAATTAAAGTTGAAATATTGCTTAAATCATAAATATGTTGAAAACAAAACAATAACAACTAATGAAAATCACAGTGTAGAGTTAAAGATTACTTTTTATATAAGTCAAATGTGTACAGTTATTTTTTTTAAATTTATACATTGTGTTTACTGTTTGCGACTTGACTTGGCAGTTTGAAGAGGTTGGTTGTATTTTATTGTAGATTAGGTCACATGTTGATAGATGCCAGCCTGGAATAACAAGATTTTATTTTTCCCTGAAGCTATCAAGACAAATCCATGAGATAAATTTCATAAAGAAATTTCTGTACCAGACTCCGCCATGTTTGTTTGTTTAGGGAAAAAGAAATGTAAAGCACGCCATATCCTGTGTTTCTTGTTTTTGGTTGTTTGTATTTTTGATATGTCTTGAAAAAATTGAAATTATAGATGTAAGAAAATACATTGATAAAAAGTATTCTATATTATACCCACGTATCTACTGTTCATCTACTTTTTATTTCTGAGTATTTTTATGATAAAGGAAATGTGTTTTGAGTTGAGAAGCGGGTCATAAAGTTTTCCACACACTTCCATTCAAGGAACTAGTGCTACGGACCATGTAAGATATGAAGGACAGTCTTACAACCTTGTGTATGGGCCCCTTGAAACAAGAATAAAAAAATAAAAATAAATATATGCATATAAAAAATTCTCTTGGTACGATTAATAATAGATTAAAGTTGTAAATGCTTATTCATACCAGAATTAATTTTTAAAAATAATGCCAGGCAATTTTTGGTTTATTATTTTCAATAATGAACCATTGTAATCAAACAAAAAATTCAAAAACTTAACCCCCCTCACAAAATTTGAGGTTTTACGTTTCAGTATACGTAGAATTCGAAAAACGAAGAAAAATGTTTTTGTCTGTCCGCCGTCCGCGCATTTTCTTCGAAACTACTGGACCGATTTTTTTTTAAATTTGGGTTTGAAATTAGAGGTCACTCGAGGATGATCGATTCTCCTTCGTTGACATTTCTATCTCTTAGGATTAATTAATTGATGTTATTTGTTATTGTATATTCTACCTACAATACTGTTACTGGCAACACTTTCAGATGTGACGTCAGTGATCACAACAATGTAAACTCCCTCGATATTGCTTCTATGTTTGTAGTGTTCTTCCACAATAAACGTTTCTGAATTGTCTGTGTTTGTTTCATAAAGAAACCCTAACCATTATTAACATTATCCGCTTTTTCCTTTCAAGATGGCAACCGAAAAACGTGCGTAACTATAGACGGTAGCGCCTAAACTAATGTACCGATTTCAATGGAACTCGGCTAAAGTCTTCTTCTTGATGCCCTTTAAATTTATCTATATGACGTACTTCAACGAAAAGAAGTTGGAAAAAAGTGACGGGAGATGATAAAATTAGATTCCGAATAACTAAAAAAGTATACACTTTTTTTCTTGATATTGTATGTGTTTATTTAAAAGTTTACAGAATTTCCTAAAAAAATCGTTAAAATCGGACAATTAGGAGCAAAGATATTTTAAGATGTTTTTTATATGTTGTACTGCAAAGGTTATTTCCTTTGTTTTGTTTTTTGAATATGTTACTGAAGTAATGGTATTTTTTTTAATATATTAGCAATGATCCAAAAAAAAGGTTTAGTCCAATAATTGGAATCACCTTTTGTTTGTTTTTCATTGTCACTACTAAGGTAATATTACTTTAGATATACAATTGTTTAGAAATAATAAATCATTGTGAAATGATTTGCAGCGTTTTTTTTTATTAATACGGATTGAATTATATTAATTTTCAGATACAGTTTGTAGCAATGGTAGCACTATTGTTGAAAATGAAGATGTATAACTGTAATTACGATGTAACTTTCTGGAGAATATGGATCTTTAACATTCTGTTGTTCACGGGTCTGTTTTTGAACTTTTATAAAAGAACCTACAAGAAAAAAAGGAAAATAAGATAAATCTCAATTTATTTACATGGCGGATGTTTGTTGATGTTCAATTAAATGCATTGTGACTGAAAAATTGTTTTTATAAATGACAACATTATTAGGAAAATGAATTATTGTATTTCCATACCCTTATAAGTAGTATATACAAACTGATTAATCAGGGCTAAACTTCCTGATATCGATGAATTTTGACGTTTAAAATAGCAATTTTTTATTTGATCCTGCCAATGGATATCCGCAACCTGACATAGGCGGACAACATTATTTACTTCTCATAAATAAACAATTTATGTAGACAAAGTTCAAGTGACTAGGAATCGGTGAAATGTTACGCCTAAAATAGGCAGTATTATTTCTTCTTTTTTACAACACACATTCATTGTAGTTATAATTTCAAGGCTACTAAGATTGGTCAATTTATAATTTCAACATCGTGATTTTTTTATTTAGTTTGCCAAAGGATACCTGCGGCTATGAAACAGCATTCTGCTAAAAAAAACGACATTTAATAATAAGATTCATGTATCAAACGCTAAGTATTCATCGAAAAATATTGAGAGGCACTGAATTTAATTGATGAGTTTAGGAATGGTCTGATAAAATTTCCGATGCAATTGATGTGCTCAGCGCAGAGTTTATAAAGCGTTAGTTTGTTCCCCTTTTATAAAGTTTATCCCCCTGTGAGTTCCCTTCTAGCCCTGGAGCCAGGGCCAAAAATCGACCTGATCGCAGAGGAAAGTTTGAATGTAAATTACGAACTTGTATGTTATTCCAAGTAAAATAAATCTTGTCTGCCGTTCCAAAACCGCTGCTTTCAAAAATGGCGGCTAATTTACAAAATATTTGGCCAGGAACTTGAGAATCGAAACAGAAAATTCATTGCGAAATATGTGGGAAACGTTTTTATTTTTTAAATTTGTATATATGGATTTAGACAAGTAAAAAACAAAATTGCTAACGCGGGCCACCAATGGAAAACTTTTTACAGCCAAAAAAGTCAGATTTTTTCACCTATAACTCTTAAACGATGCATCGAAGCGAAAAATGTAGTATTTAAGAAATTAGAGATCGTTAAATTGTGCGTCGAAAAAGTACCTAAACCTATTAATTGGGTTAAGTGGTATGGTATAAAACCATGGTCAATTAACGCAGATTTTTACCAAATTTGCAAAGAATTAAGAAAAATTAATATAAATAGCCCTGTAGCTCAGAAATGAGTTCCCTAAGAAGAAAACCCATAGAACCAAAGTTATAGAGCTTACAATTTTGCGTCCACTCATTCGACGCACGATTTAACGTTCTTTAATTACTTAAAGAGTACATTTTTTCGCTTCGATGCATTAGTAGCTTAGCTATAAATGAAAAAACAAAAAAAGAGAAATAATGTTGGCATTTTTGGTTGTTAAAAGTTTTCCCTTGGTTGCTCGCGTTAGCAATTTTTTGTTTTACATTTCTAAACCCATATACAGGATGTTTCAACTTTAAGTGGCCAAACTAAAATATGAGTTAAGGACCTCAAAACAAAAAAAAAAAATTCCTATGAAGGTATGTCTGCAAATGCTTTGTTTAGGAGATCATCATACCTGAAGATTTTCGTTGTTATGAATTAATTACGTTATATTAAGTAAATAAAACTTATTTATTTATTTGTTCCAACTGCTTTATTAATTAATCGTTAACATTAAATTCATATTAAATGTTGTTCAAAGTGATTTCCTTGAGCATTAAGACAGGCTTGGCATCTTTCTTCAACAGCAGCAGTGGCAGAACGGGACTGGAAATGTGTCATTGTTTCACAAGATTCAATTATTCTTCTTCGTAAGGAATTAAAGGCATTGAACGGACTTGCATAGACTTTTTGTTTAATGTCACCCCAAACAAAAAAATCCAGTGGTGTCAGGTCTGGAGTGCGTGCACGGCCAATCCATTGATTGGGATAATTAACATTCAGCCATTGTCGTGGACCTCTTCCGTAATATGCAGGAAAACCATCTAATTGAATTTTAACATATGTTGGAATATGTTTAACTAAATCATGGTAATCATTATTAAGAAATACCAGAAATGTTCCCGCCAAGAAATACGGACCTATTAAAATATTGTCTATTATCCCCACCACATATTGCGCTGAAAAGGATGCTCACGAATTGCATGGGGATTTATCTGCGACCAGAGATGATTATTTTCCTGATTGAAGATCCCTCTTCTTGTAAAGGCAACTTCATCTGTCCAGAGTTTTTTTCTGAAAATTGTGGCTTATGCTCAACTTGATTTAAGTACCAATATGAAAATATCTTCTTTGCCGAAAATCTTGCAGTGATCATTTTTTTACCCGTTGATAATGATATGAGTGAAGTCCATCTGCAATGAGAGTTCAACATAATATAGTTGGCGTAATATTTAATTCTGCTCCAGCTCTTCCTACACTGCCAGATTTTCATAAAAATGTTGTAATATGGTCACACTCATTTCTTCATTTCGTAAAGGGGCAAAAATACCTCTAGCATGTGGTATTATAGCAAATGTACCTGTTTCTCTAAGACGTTGAAACATGCAGCTAAAGATAGACTGTTTGGTAATCTTCTGTTCGGAAATCACCTGGCATATTCACGGCGGGCAACATTAGAATAACCATTTAAAAACCGTATACAAACACCATATCGGTATATTTACCATTAGTATAAATGGGAGGCATAATGATGAGTACTCTGCGAAAGCCTCTTACAAACTGATAAATGTTATTGAGAGTTCTCAATGCTAATTCCAAATAGTATTAATCCTAATGTTGCCAATAGTTTTTATACAGTTAGGGATAAAAGGCCATATTAGAAATTTATCTAATCCATCTCCTAAACAAAGCGTTCTGTCTTGTGCCGTTCTGCCACTGCTGCAGTTGAAGAAAAATGCTGAGCCTGTCTTAATGCTCAAGAGAATCACTTTGAACGACATTTAATATGAATATTACTGTTTACATTTAATTATTCATATTTAATTATATATATTTATTTGTTTTTTATTGTTGCCTCTACCCTGCAGGGTCATTGGCAACACTTCCTATTTATATTCTATTGTAGAACTTTATTATTTTTAAAAACTGTAAGGTTTTTTCCACGGCGTTTTCGTTGTCGCTGAGGTTTTCTTTTTGATTAATAAAGTAGTTAGAACAAATAGATAGGTTTTATTTATTTCATATAACGTAAATAATTGATAACAACGAAAATTTTGTGTGTGAATATCTCCTAAACAAAGCGTTTGCGGACAAACCTTCAGAGGAAATTATTTTCTTGTTTTGAGGCCCTTAGTTCCTTTTTTGTAATTTGGCCAGTTAAACCTGAAACACCCTATATACAAGTTTAAAAAATAAAAACGTTTCCCACATATTTAGCAATGAATTTTCTGTTTCGATTCTCAAGTTCCTGGCCTAATATTCTGTAAATTAGCCGCCGTTTTTGAAAGCAGCGTCCCTGGAACGCCAGACAAGGACCATTTTACTTGGAATAACAGCTACTTTCGTAATTAATACTCAAACATTCACCTGCATTCAGGTCGATTTTTGTACCCTGGCTCCAAGGCTATGTTTGTCCATTAAGGCGGCCGATAATCGTTCAATAATATTGAATGATTGTGCAATGCGTATAGTATACAAATCACAGGTGGATCTAAGGGAAGGGGGAGGGGTGCTTTTGGGCTGAAGTCCTCCTCCCCAAAAATGGAGAAAAATTAACCATGTTTTGTGAAATAAATATTAAAAACCTATCTCTAAAAGCATTGTTGTCCGTGTAATTACATTTAATAGAACTTCAAGAATCACTTTAACACCATTCCATATAGGTAATTAGTCAGTTTCTTTGTTTTTCTCCTAAAGTAAAAATCATTATTTACAAGAAAAAAAAAAAAAAAAACTTTTCGGGCTGAAGCCCCGACCAAAATTCAATCATAGATCTCCTAGTGGTACAAATTGATTCGTATTAATATTATTTTTTTCTACTTATTTCAATTGTTAGTTAAAAAATTTCTATTTTAATAAATTAAAAAAAAAAATTTATCAACTCCAAATGATGCCAAGTTAATGACTGGTATTAAAAGTAGATTTCATCAAAACTGGTATTGGTTAAAGTATTCGCGAGTTTTACCGAGAGGAGACGGGTATTTTCGAGTTGATAAGCTAATTTCATTTAAGGTGTTGGTAGCACTCACATTATAAATAGGAAATCTAAATTCACCACTCCTTACAAATGTCACATTTGAAATGTGCTACAATGGTTCGTCCACTAGGTGCGCCACCTCCTGGTTCCAGAAGTTCACCATCAGTTTAAGACTAGTCATCAACATGGAGCCTAGAAAAGAGAAGCGGCATTTGATAATGGTGGCCTGGTTGTTAATAAACGGTATATTTATGTTTATTACGAGCCATATTTTTATCAGAAGAGTTTCGGAACTATACGAACCTCAAGACTTTGGAATGATTGATGTTGGGAAATTAATGTACCCTGTAAATATTTTAGACGCAGTACGTGTTAAATATCTGTCTTTGATAATAATTATAGTCGCCTATGTACCATATATTAGATTTAGGGCCTCATTGAACATACTTCATTACTATAAGGACTGCCAGAATGATGGTCCTAAGAAATTGTTACATCTCGTCATTTTTCATGAGAAAATGTTGCATTTTGAATTTGTTAATTTAGTAGTATATTTAACATTGTTTATCTTTGTTATTTGTTTATTTTCTCTGGAAAGTTACAAACCTGAAACCATTTTGAGATTTTCAGAGGTTTTTCCCATTCCAAGTGAAAAAGAAGTTCTACTATATTTACAAATATTTAATGAGTATGGTGGAATATTTGATGGCATCAAAACTAGTTTACTTCTAACTGCCGAAGTGTGCCTTATTATGGAAAAAATGACATGGAACAAGATTCAATATCATTATAAAAATATCAAATGTTTAACACATAAAAACATTCCTTCAACCAGATGATTCTAATGATGTATCAGTACTCAATATAATATAATATCAGTATTCATAGTATTAGGTAAAAACAATTAGTTTGTTATAAGTACAATGTTTATTTTTCATTAAAAACTAAAATGTCAATGAGTGTCCAATATTCATGGAATAACAACTATAGAAACTACAACACACATATCTAAAGCAAGTCTTAGTTGATACTCGTGGTATTTGAGAATATTGTTTTTATTTCTTCGATACAGTTTCCTTCTATTAACTAAGTTACTGTAAAAAATAATGCATTATTATAGCATAACCCTTCTATAGAAATAAGGATGATAATAGTTTTATTATAAATGTTTGTGTGTTTGTAACATTATTTACATGCATATTTAATTTTCCTCACAATCTCTTTCTTCACCATCTTTACAAATTTGGAAGTTTTCAACTGAAGATGCTGCAGATAAACAAATATTTTCAAATGTACAAGGAGGATCTGTAATATGTTTAAAAATAATCGTTATATTGATGCATTATTATGTTCTTATGAAATTATTACTTAAAAAATCATTCTGATTTTGTTAGCTTGAATATTGTCCAAGCATTTGGTAACTTACTAAAGGTGAACCATTCATCTGTTAAGCCAGCATCTTTTCTTGCAGATTGTAAGGCAAACCGGAGGGCATTCACGAAGGTGAATGCAGTACATAAAGATGGTTCTCCAGTAGCTAAAATAGAACTTTATTAAATATAGTCTGATTACTTTTAGTCATTGTAAAATTTATATAAGTGGTGAACTAATGTAACTAGACCTATGCTTGGCACCTTGTATCACTTGTTATTTATAAAACACAAATATCTTCATTGGATAAAAAACAGCAGTAATTGATTGATTAAATTACCTTTTGAAATGAATAAAAATTAATTGATCTTATTATTCATTATAATTATTAAATTCATTATAATTTGAATCACTGGCAATTATAAAATATTACAGAAAATTGTTTTTAAAATTTTATGTTACATTCACTGAAATAAACAGATTGTTTTTGAGCTGTTAGTGTAGTTCTTTTTATATTCTTAAAAACGAATTGTTCCGCATGTTTTCTTATATTTATATGTGTTTGGTTATATAGTATTTTGTATTTTATATGATTATAAGTTTAAAAAATAAATACTTTTTGGACTGTTACAGAATAACCCATTAGGTTTTATTGAAGTTCCTTTTCCTGTATAGCAGTTATAAAAATTATTCTGAAACAGTTACTGCTTATATATGCTTACCTTTATTTAATACAAAATGCTTACCTTTTGAACGTAAAACACCAGTGGGATTTGTAGAGTTCTTTTTAATTGTTACTCTGAAGTCAATTGGAATGTCTTTTGGACCAGGTGGCCAATAATTCTAAAAACAATCATCAAACAAAAAATATTCAATATATATTGATCTTTTTTTCAGTGACGGTTTATTTATTTTTTTTACTTATAAGTGTTAATTTAACAACAATGTTTTTTAGAAATAGCAGTGCTTCGCCATTTAATGTCGGTTAGTGATGATTCAATACTCTTAACAAGTAATTTACCCAAGTTCTATTTGTCTTTAGAGATCCATTGTTTTCATCAAATGCAATCCTTTCACTACAAAAATAACCTAAGCCCATTGTAAATGCTCCTTCCATTTGTCCTATGTCTAATAAAGGGTTTAGACTTTCGCCTAGATCTTCTTTTATATCTGCTCTGTGAACCTATAATGAATAATAAAATACTTTAGTTTTCAATTAGTCCTATAAGCTATTTGTGAAATATTGGAAATAATATACTTTGCTTAATTAAAATTATTCCAAAGCAGTATTGTCAGTCTTACTTTTAATATGACTAATAGGTATGAAATAGAAAACTTTTTGATGAGTTTTGAGAACTTCTATTCCAGAAATCCAATGAATCAGAAGATCAAATCACCCATTGACTTACAAAAAATTTAAGTACAAAATAAAACAGATCATTGATAGGTTGAAAACCTCTAAAATCAGTTTAACAAGCTGACAAAATAGCTACAAAATCCACCTATAATTTTAATTCAAGATGGCAGAAATACACATGAACTTCATAGTTATATATCTATTTATATTAGCATGCTGTCAAGCTGTCATACTCACAATATATGTTTATTATTATTTTTCCATTTTTGAAAGTTCAACGGATTCCTTTAATTATACTTCTGAATTAAATAGTACATTTTTAAATTATCAAAATTAGCTGGCTGGACAGTACCACTTAAGTAAATTTTTATCTGAGTTGAATGATATAAATAAATTTTTGCTATTGGAATATAATATTTTTGTGGCATAGTTGATATTAGATTATTTTAAAAAAATGCATTTTTCTTTTTTTAATTTTAAAAATAAAATGTGGAAGATTTATTTACTTTGAAGGTATACCATAGTTGTTTAAAGTAAATAAATGGTCGCTTATATTTATGGTAATAATTACATGTATTTATTGTTAATTAATAGTACATAAACTCTAATTACTAATAATAAATAAATTGTAATTAGTTAATATTTATTTACGTTATATCGAAATATTAATAAAATGTTAATTATATAACTAAATTATTATATAACTGCAGTTTGCTACGGATTAATCTAGTAATAAATTATAGTTAAATTACAAAATTACCTGGCACTCTCCAGTTAAAATATCGACTTCAACTTCTAGAATTGCAACTCCATAATTGGAATAATCTTTTGGAATTGGATCAGATGTTGAATACCTGATAACAATTATTATTTGATTCCATTATTCAATTATTTCTAATAAAACAACAGAGGATGTATTCTATAAAAATGTAATGGAGAAAGGAAGGACAAAAAAATTGTAAATTTATATAATTGATAAATATTAATAATTTGGTCAAAAATTATCATCTTCCTCACATGTAAGTTGCTTTCAAATCTATTCCTTCTTTGTAGGCACTTTTTAGCAATTCAGTCCAGGATGGATTTTTCATTTTTTCTTTAATTGGTTTTAAACGTTTGTTCAATTCCTCACAACATTTCAAGGTTGCCTTCAAAAATAACATTATTTTATTAATAATATTAACAAATTAAAAGTCACCAGGACAATAACTGAAAATTATTAATTTAATTTTAATAAAACAATTATTGATTGTCATGTTTTTTTTTCTACATATTTCATCACTTTTACTTAAGCTAGATATATTTGTTGGTTTGTTTTATGTTTATGTTATAAAATACTATCCAAAGTCTTGGATTGACATTTTATTACATTTTTTTTTTCTTCCATCCATTTTATATAAAAATATTGAAACAAAAGTGTCTAATCATTGCCATAATAATCCCAAATGTTGGGTGGATCCTTAAGTTCGTTCAGATTTTAGTAGTGCGAATCGTTTTCAAATATCTCCAGTTCTCTTTGCCTTATCTGGCAATAATGATACTTATCAGAAAGATCAAAGTCCGTTCTTCGAAACTGTTGTGTTTTGTTTCATTTGCATTAGTTTTGTTTATGCTACAGCGTAATGCATTTGTCAAATGATGAAGTACATTTTTGGCATAGTTTTCTTTTTTATTTAAAAAGAGACATGCGAACTTCTGAGAGTCACTGAAAGATACGTAAAGTATATGTGGATGATACCTGTACAGAACACACTGTTCAAAAATGGTTTGCCAGGAAGTTTTGTTCTGGAAGTATAAGTCTCGAAGAAGCACCCTGTTGCGGTCGGCTCACCAAGATTGTTTCAAGTGATATAAAAGTTATAATCGAACAAGACTTGTCGCTACAGGTACGAGAAATTTTGAAGTACTAAAAATTGGTTTAGGAACCGACCAAAGGCATTTAAAATAGCTTAGTATAATATCAATCTGAAACTCTCTTCAGAACCAGCACGAAAGGGATATATTTCTCAAACGAATATTGACGGATGACAAAAAGTGGATCATCGACAATGTAGTGAGCAGGAGATCATGGATAACTGCTGAGGCGATGCCTAATGCCACCTCCGAAGGCCATCTTACACTCGAAAAATATTTTTCTTTCTATATGGTGGAATTATCAGAGCGTGCTGTTTTACGAGCTGCTTCCACCAGGAAAAAAGAATGAATCGAAGATCTACTGCAACCAGCTAATGAAATTGAACCAATCATTGCGACAGAAATGACCAGAACTAGTCAATCGCAAAGGCGTTGTATTTCACCATGACACCAGACCACACTCAGCAATAACCACACAGCAAATCTTAGTGCAACTTGGCTGGGACGTTTTATTACACCCACCGTATTCTCCGGACCTAGCACCATCTGAATACCACTTATTCCGGTCTCTCCAAAACTCCCTCAGCATGAAATCGTTTGCTGATGAGAGAGATGTGAAAACGTATCTTAATCAGTTTTCGCTTCTAATCTCCATATGTTTTATGAGAACAAAATAATGAAATTGTTTGAAAGATGGCAAGGGATCATTAATGAAAACGGCAAATAAATTAATTAGGAAATATGTTTTCTTTATATAAAAAAAAAACTTGCTTGGTTTCAACTTTAAAAAACAGAACGAATTTATGGATCCACTCAATAGTTGAAAAGTTCACAGGCTGCATGATGGCATAACGGAAAACTACAAGTGGTCCATAGTCACTTGTATTTATGTATAAATTTTATTTTTTTTCTATTGCATGCTACATTGACTTCTTTTTTTTTTTATTCTTTCCTACCTCGCCTTTTAGGCTATACTGAATTTTCTCGGGCCGAAAGGTGAGGGTGGGAAATTTAAAATCCCCTCCAGCACCAGGACACGGACTTGTACTTTTTAATCTTCTCAAATCTGTAATCCGGTTGCCAGGCAACTCATGGTGCTCTGCACACGCTTTGGTCCATTTGACCTCCCCGCCCCCTGTGATAAATTGACTTGAAATCTGTTGTGAAATAATAATAGCCTATGTCAACAGATGAAAAATTATTCACAGGATGTCAGCCTGATCCCCACTGCCAAATCCCATGTGGCATGGATGATACGTATTAAGTTTTGCCAATTTTTTTTTCAAATATTTAATTACTCTATAATTAATGAACTGTTGTCTTATCAGTTTAAGATTAATGTGCATGACTAACGGTATCATAAACTTATTAGTTTCAGGGTCTGAGGGGAAGATATTTGATTAAAATATATAAGATATTCCTATAATTTGAATATTAGAAATCAAATATAACAACCAATCTTAATGGTTGAAAACAAACTATGGGTGGGGTGGCCAAACGGGCTAACGCTTGTGCACTGCACTGCTGTTGCCCGGCAACCTTATACATAAGACTTAGATAAAAAAAAAATAGTCACGAGTTCGCGTCCCGGTGCCCGAAAGAGTATTTAAATCCCTGGCCACACTCTCTGGCACGGGAAAACTCCCGTATAGCCTTAACGGCGAGGAAGGGAAGGACAAAAAAAAAAAAAACTGGCAAACCCAACAATTTTGTTAATATTTATTTCATTAAAACTTGTTTATGGTTTGTATATGGAGCATTACATTGTAAAACTATTTTGATAATATGAAAAATTAAACTAACTCATTCTTTACAAAAGTGGAATATAATGTCAATCATTCAGTTTATTAGCTCTGGTTGCAATGCTCTTGGCTATCAAATTACATATTAATAATAAATATTTTTTCTTTGAAGAAAGAAAATTAACTGTTTATTAATTATTTTCCTGTTAGCATTCTGACTCAAAAAAGTTGTTAATGTTCTGAACTTACATAAGAGACAGCATCCGTTCCAATATTTCCAGCTGTTGTTTCATTATTTGGTGACATGAGATTATAACAGGGTTTAATTTTAATCATGCTTACATCAATACCGAGAGCATATGCGCATACTTGTGCCACCTATAATACACATACAAAAACAATTAAAGAAATTTGTTTATATTTAATAACTTTTAATCATATTTATGATAGACATTTATTCTATTGGACTCAGCAATTCTTACTAGTAGAAACTGACAAGGCTTTGCATTTGTCAAATTATTTGTTCAACAGCATAAAAAAAAATTTAGAAATTGATTTTAGTATTAAAATGTGTAAAAAAAAAAAAAAAAATCATTGACTTGAATACAAATATAATAATAATAAACAGTAATAATTACTTTAGTATTAAGGCCTTGCCCCATTTCAATGCCACCTGTCGAGATAGCTACAGTTCCATCATTGTAAAATATCGAAACAGTTGAATAATAATTCGAGAAAAAAAATTTACCAAATTTCATTGGCATGAGAGAAATCCCTCTTTTCTTCCATCTGTTAACCTATAATAAAAAAAATATCTATTTTAGCTTCACTTATGTACTACTAATTATAACATATTTTACAAATTCGCTAAACGACTTTAAAAGAATTATTATTAAATTTTATTTCTCTTTTCACTTTGTTCCCAGATCAAAATTAAGAAACTATAGTGATAACAGTTTTTTTATTGAACATTTGAGAATGCTTTGTACCCCATTTCAACATTTGATATGCCCCAGTATTTTTGGATAAATTCAACTGAGTTTGGTCAATGACTGTCATAGAAAATATGAGAAGCATTAGCATTGTTGGAAGAAGAGAACGAGAAAAAAAAAGTTAAAAACTGGTTAGGCTCAATATGAGGAATGTCTGACATGCGAAATAAATTAATGGATGAAGGTAGGCTAAATTTGAATCAAATAAAGAATTAAGGCAGAGGGATGGTCTAGCCTAACTCCTCTAACATTGTGCTTGAAGAAGCTATTAGAGATTGGGGTATACAGACAAGAGGAAATCTTTAAAAATGGAGCAACTTGAGATTGGGGTGGCTGAGCAAGCTAACGCATGTGTGAAATTCGAGTTTCCTGGCAGCTAGATGATAAACTGAAGATTATGAGTTCAAATTCTTGCGACGGAAGGACTTTTAACTTTGGCATAATTTCCCTGCCCTCTCTCCTTAGAGCCAAAGCCTAAGCCTAAAATCCCTATAGCTTAAAAGCTGAGGAAAAGAAAAATAATAGAGCAACTTTTAACATATATAGTTATTAACATATTTGGTCACTCGCTTGATGCAATTATTGAAGTACATGTGGCACTTATTAATGCATCAAGAAAATTAGGACTCTATATTAACGAAGAGAAAATAAAATGTATGGTTTCTGGATAAATACTAAGCCCAAGAGAATTCATCATAATGAACTCTATAAATTTGGAAAGGTAATGGAATTTTTAATTTAGTGGAATGTGTTGCAGGTGGAATGCTAATAGGTGGGAAGATGCTTAATGTGCTCATGTATGCGGATGATGTGGTTTTGATTTCGGACAACCCATTGATATTGCAGGAAATGATAAATAGATTAGAGACCTATTGCAAAATGTGGTGCCTAGAAATCAACCTGGAAAAATCAACAATAATAATATGTCGAAAAAGGAAATGGAAAACCGATAGAAAATTAAGATGGATATATGATGGGAACCCAATAGACATAGTAGACAATTATAATTACTTGGGGGTTACTATAAAAGACAATTTATCTTTATCAGATCATTTTAGGGAAAAGCTTCGAACAACAAGAAATGCACTTAATATGATGTGGTCGAAGATTATATTAAATAAGCGGGTATCTGTTAAACCAAAGACATTAATCTTCAACTCTATGACAAGGGCTATGATATATTATGGAGCACAGTTTTGGGGCTACCAAGAATTTGAGGAGATTGAAAAACTACAGAGGTATTTTTTAAAAAAGATGATTAGGTTCTCAGATAATACTTCTAACTACATGCTATATCTCGAAATGGGATTTGATAATTTGTGTATTTATACTTTAAAATTGCACAACGAGTATATAATAAAAGTGTTGGAAATGGATCACCAATGACTCCCGCATGTCATAGCTAAATTAGTCATCGAAAAGAATATAACATGGATGAGGGCACTGAGAAGGATAGGAACAAAATGTGACATTTCTTTCACCAAAAAAGATCTGCTGAAGGATTTGAAAACCCATAAAGACATATTTCTTGAAAAAACTAAAGCAAGAGAAAATGAATGATTACATTAAGAGGGCAAGATCAGCAGAATATCATAAAGTGTATACCAAATTAGAATAAGATTGTGGGTATTTTCGGCAGAATGATTACAATTTATATTTCATTCAGCTAATTTTTAAAGCGAGAGGGGAACTTTTCAATCTAAATTACCAGCCGTGGCAGAATAAAAGGAGAAATTGTTCTTTGTGCAATATGAATGCACCGGAAGATAACTTAATAAATAAATAATAAAAGAGTTCAGAATAGCATTTTTAGGTATGCATCAACTAATTTTTATGGAAACGATAAAAAATTTTAAACAGCCCAGACGACAGAAATCTTTATTTGAATTTAAGAACATTCACTAATTATAGATGTGAATTAGTAAGAGAATATAATTTAGAATAAGAGGTATCTAAGTTTATGTTCATGTATATTTGTATATCATGTAGGTATATTTATATTTTTATATTTAGAAAGAATTTTTAGTTAAAATTAAGATTTTTTTTTTTAATTAAGCAGATAATATTGCAATTGAGATCTTGTTATATTAAAACTGTGAATTATTAAAAGATAAGATATCTCCATGAATAAACTAGGCGAACACCCCGACAGACGAACATTAGTTCATTGTCAATAAATCCTTTAATTAAATGTAAAAAAAAAATATGATATTATGTACTTTATAAACCCTTTTATCTATCTATCTATCTAATGGCATTTTTATATCTCAGCTCGATGATAATACTAGACAATGCCAATGCTACTGACTAGAGATAATAAGATAACTTTGATTACTCAATATTATTGGCCTTTGGAGTCAGCAATATGCTATCAAGGAAGACCAAAGTGCATTAATACAAAGTAATTATCCAAGTGGTACTATTATATGAATCAGAAATGTGGATGTCATCAAACATTAGTGAACAGGAACTGTAATGATTCGAGAGGAAAATTCCCTGTCAGATATCTGAAACAGTTAGAACTGACCAAGCTTAGCGTAGACAATCAAATCAAGATCTTATCCAAGACATGCTGCAGGTCATGAAAATAGAGTGACCAAGGCAGGCAGATGTTTATACTCAGAATGAACAGTAAATAGATACATAAGCATTTGTTGATACAGCCCCTATTCAAAGGCCATAGTTAAGGTGGGCAGATGGTGTGACAAATGATTTTATGAAAAGACCCTTGAGGTCGAACATCGAATGGCTGTCACATCACATAATACTGAAACAATTGGTGGAAGCCGGTGGAAAAACCAGGACCCGACAATGGGTTTCTGAACCAAAGTATCAAGTTTTGTATATAAACGTTTCTTTTAAATATGTTGCTCAAAAAATGTTTCATAGTTTTATCCAAAATATAATTTATGATTGTTAATTTTTTAAAATTAATTTAAAATAATTATTGATAATTTCCAATGAATCATAATACTTATACTTACAGTGTTATAATGATTGATATTAGCTAGTCTTTTATAATATTCAGAAATTTCAATTTCTTCTTGAATAATATTTTCAATAGTATGAGAGTCCTGCTCAAAGTTTATCCTTCTTACAGTGATTGGATCCTTTTTACAGACTGCTGCGATGTGCTCCATAATATGTTCTATTGTAGCCATTCCTTCAAGTGTACCTGTTTGAATATCATTTCTGAGCTAATTAATATACTTTTATGCATTATGTTTTCTATTAATCAATCAGAATATTTTGTTTTTAATTAATATCGAACAGAAGATTGACCTTGTACTTTACATTAACTGAATAATTTCGCACTGAATACCTGGTGCTCTCATCCATGTTGATGATGGCAAATCTGTTTTGACAAAGATAAAGTCAATTGTCCATGTTGATACATCATAACAGTTCCTAATTCCATCATTTATCCATTGAAATGTGTTATCATTATAAGTACATCCCATATTTTCATAAAGGACTGCTTTTAAGTATTGTATTTTTCCATTATCATCAACACCAACCTAAAAGATTTCTTGAATTAAGTTACATAAAATATTTTAGAAACAATTGTTGGACTTAATTAAGTTTAGAAAGAATTCATTTATAACTAACTGTGCTCTGAGTGTTTACCTGCGTTAAACTTTGATTGATGAATTCCTGCTTCATACACATGATGTATACATAACTACAGGCCCAGAACTGAAAGGGAGTTGAGGGAGCAAAGAGGGCTATTGCTCCAGACAGCAGAATTTAAGGGATGGCAAATTTTGAGTAAACATTTATTTTTAGGGAAATTAAAAAATATTTTTTTCTTAATTTCGATTTTTTTGACATTAAATAAATAAAAAAACATTAAGAAATTCTATTAAGATTATATTTATTTTTAAATGTATTTCCTAAATTAATGCTATAAACTATTGAATTTTATTGGAAGTAAAGGGAGAGGAGGGAAACATTAAAAAAGGAGTGGCAGAAAAATTAAGCTAGCTCTCTAACATGAACAAGTTCATCTGATCAACTGAACTAAATAAGAAATTTATGTGGAAAAACAAAAGGGCTTATCACTAAAAAAATTAACTTGACAGAAAACCTCTCAAATTTTATGAGTTTGTGCTTTCTACAATTTTTGAAAAACATGGCATGTTTTAAATTATTTGAAGAAAACTTAAAGTTACTCTAAATATATTGTTACACTTAGCCACCGGCATAAGTAAATAGCGCCAGCATACACTAGATTGAGAATTAAGATCATATATATTTAAGGGAATAAAAAAGTATGATTATCTTTTAATGAAAGAAGCATTATAATTTAAACATGAACTAACATGAGCCAAATTATGTTATTTTACTGCTATTATAGTAGCCAGTACATAATAACTAAACAATTCAACAGTTTGCCTATTATCATAAATGAATTTGACATTTCTCTAAGCTTGTTATTATTATAATTCTTCCTCATTTTCAAGTGTTTAATAAAAATAACATTGTGGCTAATTAAAATGTATTATTGTATAAGATATCGTAGATTGAATATTAACTACAAGAAAATCAAATTGAGGTTTATCATTCGAATTTCTATAATTTTTCTAATTCATCATGTGGAATGTATCTATTAGGCTTACTGTTTTCGTCACTATTCTCTGTATTACCACTCAATTTCTTTTCAAAATTTTTTAATTATAACAAAATTTATGATTTACAGTACTTGTGAAGCATACATGACGAAATGAAAAAAAAAACTACTGTAACGTCATACATCATATCAGCCTCAACTGTCATATCCAACGTTCTCATTACTTACTTACTGACGGGCTTTACAGTCAAAGGTGAACCTTGGCCTCCTTCATGATCTTTTTCCAATCCTCTCTATCCTTCATTCTTGTCCTCCAATTTACCACTCCCATTCTCTTTAAATCCTATTCCACATCACTTTTCCAACATTTTCTCGGTCATCCTCTTTTCCTTCTTCTTTTCCAGAAAATTCCTTGCAAAGTATCTTCTTCATTGCTTGGTCATCTGGCAGTCTTTCCATATGTCCTAGCCAATTAATTCTTCCAGCTTTAATAAAGCGTACAATATCCTCATGCTTCAACAGTTCATCCTGATTTGTTCTTATCCTCCATTCTCCTTGTATGCATAGGAGACCAAAAATTCATTTCATGATTTTTCTTTCGAAAACCCTTAGTGCCTTCTGGTCAGCTACTTTCAGCTTCCAGGCTTTGGCTCCATAGCATACAACTGATCGAACCAAGGATTTGTACACTTGGAGTTTTGTTATTCTGGATAGGAGTGTCAATTTAAAAAGCTTTAGCATACCAAAGTACGCTTTATTGCCTGCCATGATTCTTCCTCTTATTTCCGGGCTATTGAAGTTTTCACTATTGACTTGCACCCTCTACTGCTTCAAAAAAGTATTCCTGAAAAACAAAACCTTCTGGATTCCTTCTTGAATCCGAGGTCGAGACTACCATATACTTTGTTTTTGTGTTGTTAGCTATTAATCCAACCTGCTTACATTCTACAACCAATGCCGATAGTACCTCAACTATTGCCGCTTTGGTTCTACCTATAATTGCAATTTCATCAGTATATCCCAATATTTGTCTTGTTCGGGATGCTAAAATACCACCAGGTGTGATCCCTTTAACTGTATTATGTAGCGCCAAGTTAAATAGAATTGCTAAGAGTGCATTTCCCTGCCTTACTCCAGAATTAAATTGGAAGATTTCGCTAACCTGATTGCCAATTAGTACTTTAGCCTGTGCATTCAGCATAGTCATTTCAATTACGTGGATTAGTTTAAACGAGATGCTATGTTCACGCAATGCACTAAAATGTTGGGTTCTTTTAATTTGGTCAAAAGCTTGTTTAAAATCTATAAACAGGATTTTTGAGTGCCCTCTCCTAGGCAGTTGCCTTCACTTCTGCTGTAGAGCTCTCCCTGCCCTTCCACAGTAGCTTAGACAAGCTACCTATCTCTGAGGAAGCTGCCGTTGACTCCGGTAGAGTTCGTCCACCATCATTTCTTAGATGGATGCAAGCCCTGCTGCCAACTTGTATAACTGGATACTGCCTCTGTTAGAATTACCCAGGGAGCACCACGGTAGAGGTCAGTTTTCATCCCCCTCCCCTCCCAACGTTCTCCTTAGTAAGCTTAATAAAGTGACTTTGAAAATTAATATCAATTAAATGGATAATCATAGAAAATATTTTGTTAAAGATGATGAATAATAAAAATAGAAAAAATGAGCACACAGACATCTCCCATTAAATGTGGATAATTATAACAGTATAAACCAAAATGCAAATATTATTAAAAACAATATACCTCATATGTTGCTAGATAAAAACAGCGCATTCCAATCGCTTTCATTGAAGTTTCAAGGTCAAAAATAAGTTTGACTGGTCTCATTAATTTATGTGCTGCGAGACAACAAGCACTCGCAACCATAGCACTTCTTGTTGATTTTCCCCCAAAAGCTCCACCTATTTGTTTTACATATAGGTTCACCCTGGAAGGAGAAAAAACAAGAAATAAACATGCCAAAGGGTCTATATGACAATTTTCCTAATACTATGATATTCAACCCTATATAAATTTATTAACTTTATACAAACAGTTTGTCAGTTACGAGAGAAAATATTGCTTGCTCATCCTCAGCATTGAATTGATATCTCCATAGTTTTCTGCATCACAGAGGTGGTGAAGAAAGGCATGAACTTAAAATAAAAAAATTTTTTTTTCATATTAAATTGTCACTTTTATTTATTTTTTTTTTTTTTGTAATCGCCTCTATCCTAGAGGGTCATTGGCGGCTAGTTTTCTATATTCTATTGTAATATTTCGTATCCATTAAGTACCGGAATAGGGTGATGAATCCATCTTCGTTGTCTATAAATATTTCTTTCATTGTTGTTGGTAGTTTCAATTTTTGCCGAATGTTGTTGAACTCGTGGCACTCTACTAACAGATGTTTTACTGACTGCGGTTTATTGTCACACTTTTGGCATGTGGGTGGTTCCAGACCTCTGAGAAGGTATCCGTGAGTAAACAGGCAGTGTCCTATTCGTATTCTGCACAATATTGTTTCTTCTCTTCTGGATATTCTTGAGCTACTAGCCCACTTGTTGCGGTCTGTTTGTATTTCCATTAATTTTGACTGTCTATTTTTCCATCTATTTACCCAATTTTCCAACAACTTCTTTTTTGTTGCGTGTACCCAGTCTTCTACTGTGGTATAATTTATTGAGATTATGGTTGGTGCCTCTCCCTTCCTTGCTAAGTTAGCTGCATGGTCTGCTCTTTCATTGCCTGAGATACCACTATGAGATGGAACCCAGACAAATATCACTCTGACCGTTCTTTCTTTTAATTCCCACCATAGATTCAATATATCCCTTATTATTGAATTGCTTGGCCATGGATTACCTATTGCTGCTATGACGCTTTTGGAGTCTGATGCTATCATCCATTGATTGTCATTGGAATTTGATATCCAATGGAGGCTTTCATGAACGCAGTAGCTTCTCCAGTAAATATGGAGCTCTCTCCAGGTAAGCTAAATAGAAGTTGGTGCTGGTTGTTATTAATATATACTGCGCAACCAACACTATTTTCCTTAAAACCTTTGTATTTCTCCAATAATTCAAAAAAGTAGTTTTGAATTTTCAGTGGGTATTCTTTGTTATGTCTTGTCATTGACAGATCTATAGTCGGTCTACTGTTCGTCCAGTTAGGTATTTTGAGGTTAGGGATGGGTCTAATTGAGTTCAAATCCATGTTCATATTATTTAGCGTTTTATCAATTATTTGTTTAAATGTGCTTCCCTCTATCTCCTTAAGCCCTCGCCTACTAGATCCTTCATCAAATAGTTTTGAATTCAAGGGGTGTTGTGGACGTGATTTTAATTTGGATACATATTTTATAGATAAATATGTTCTTCTCATCTCTAATGAGGGTTCTCCAGATTCGGCATACATACTTTTGACTGGAGAAGTTTGGAAAGCTTCTGTGCAGATTCTAAGAGCTTGTGGATGGAATCAAGTATTTTTAGCAACGTTTTGCGACCTGTTCCATATATTTGGGATCCATATTCAATTTTACTTCGAATCACACTATGGTATATTTTGATGAGTGTCGTTCTATCGGCTCCCCAGCTTGAATGAGCAATGCATTTAAGAAGTCCTAGTCTTTTTGTACATTCGTCTCTTAACTGTTTTATATGATGAACCCACGTCAGCTTCTTATCAAGTATCATTCCCAAGTATGTATTGTCACTTAGATTACTTATATTGGAAAAGATAAACACAATATATGGTATCTATTAATCTAATAGATAAAACTGAGGCTTACAAACATGGAGGCACATGTTTCATTAAATCTTTTAAAAGGGTTTAAGATATGGAACAGGGTCTTGAGGTGTGTGGGCAAATTAAGTAATAGAGGAATTATAAATGCTGATTCATGTCTCATTCAAGAAATGTTGAATAATATTTCTAAATGTTGCTGAAGCATAGTAGCTTGGCATATAAGAACATTTTATTTACCTGTTCATTTTAATACCTAGTACTTTGGCTATAGCTGACTGAGTGTTGTGCATCCATTGAGTTGAGGAATACACATCCAATCCATCCTCTTTAGGATTGCAAAAACATGCCTGGGGTTCTAAGGTGAAGTGAAATTGTGATCCCATTTCAAATTCCCCTCTTATTTGATGAGTAACATTTTCTGTAATCAAAATAACTATTCAGGTATGACAATATAAGGTTAAAATAGAAAGATACAATACAGATTCGTAGTTAAAATACAATTTAAGTAATATTGTATACATTACCATAAATTATAGATGTTGTGACTACCTCTAAAAATATAATAAAATAAAAGAGCCCATTAAAGAAACAAATATATTTTTAAAAATAAAAATAAATTCATTCTAAAGGCAAAAGCACAAAATTACAATCTAAGTTACACCACGTCTATTTGGTTTAAAGTTTAGCAATATTTATATAGTCTTGAATAGTTTAAAATGTTTGTCCTAAAAATAAAGTAATAGAGAATTTTAAAATTTGTTAAACTAACTATTTCAAGCCATTTATCAACATCTAAAACCAGAAAACTTATTATTTCAGTTGTAAGTTAAGAAATAAGAATTGCAGAAAATAGGATTCTGGCAACACTAAACTCACTAATAACATACTTATGTATCAGTGATATATATATTTTTAAAAATATTCTATTTCATGAATGTTTAATATTTGACAAAATGTTTTTGAAGTAAACAGATATATCATGGGTATATTGCAAAAATTAATTAATTAAAACTTCATAAAATTAAATAACTCTAAGCACTTTGATCAATTTTCTCTCTGTGAAATATGAATATTATGCAGTTAGTATTAACTATTGTTGATATCTATACAAGTGTTTGTGTTATTTTGATGCAATTTTTATGTTTTGCATCGACAAATAAGATCGGAATTAAAAAAAAGAATACTTAAAAGTATAGCTCTATTCCAAATGTACTTAATTACTTTTTGCAATAAACTTACAAGATATCTTTTTGTTTCTTTTCATTGCCAAATAATATTTTAGTAACAATGCGTACTGTATTTCTACTTCTGCTTTGTAGCAGCCAGTGTTTTCTTTTTCACAAAGCTTGTACTATGGCTCTCTTGGAAATGCCTCTTGGCTGTTAAAACAATTGCTTATTAAATTTCATTTGAAAATTAATAATTAATATTTTAATATCAGTGACATACATTATATTGTAATAGATCTATTAATCAATTGAGAAGCAGACCCCTATAGGCTATAACGATGGGAAAAAATAAATGAGATACCATATAAATAAATGAACTCATCTAATAAAAATATATATATAAATAATATTGGAATGTAATTTTTTTTAAAGATTAAGCTACTACCTTCCATTAGTCACCCACCTTCCATCTGTGGGACTGAGGGTGGGCTTAATTTAACAATTTAACCTTAGAGTATATTTAGTTGGCCAGAGTAAAGTCGTTCCTTCAATAACCAGTACCATTCAAGTTTTATGTTTGTGTCTAATTAAGTTACGACCATTACGTGGGTCACAGGACAAGTTTGATTCCTGGCCACTTTATTTCCTATTTTGAGGTTGTGACGGCTAAGTATGTAAAAGAATCAACTTCAACATTCACGATTCTAGCATGGCTGGTTAGAAAGCAGCCTGGACAGGTTGAAATTTATTTTGTGGTGGATCCACTGAATGAATATCAACTTTAGTTAGAATAGGTTTGTTTGTACCTCTTGTTCAACCCCTGTCCCCCAACCGAATGCCAAAAATGGCAATATATATGGATTTAGGACAATCAAAGGAACAAAAAAGGCACATGACAATGATTAGTGATGAAAATTTAAAAACTAAATTTTAATGACAATATAATAAAGTGATAGACTTAAATCTACCTCCTTTGCTAACTGGTTCAATATGTCCTTGTAGTGAGATACGTGACTTCTCCCCGCTGTTTAATACATCTTTAATGGTTAAGAGGGGCTTCACTCTAGATGAATATTTGATTTTTACCAACTTGGCTGCTTTTACAGCTATTTCTTGAGTTCTGGCAACAATAATACCTATAGGCTGTCCAGCATATTTTACATCCTCTCTACAAAAAAGCTGAAAAAAAGATATATATGTATATATATATATATTAAATCAATTATATTTAATCAAAATTAGAGAATTAATAAACCTTACACAGATCAATATTACTAAATTTGAATACAAATTATGAGTAATCTGATATTTACTTAATTTATAAACAATTGATTAATATTTTATATATGCTGGCAATGTTATTAATTGACTATAATTATAAAACGATATATTAAAAAAAAAAAATGGTGGGTTTGACTGAAACTTATTCAGTAAAGTTATATTTCTAAAGAAACCTATAATCATGGGCAAGATATTATTTTGACTAAACTATTAATATATATATATTTTTGTAGTTTCAAAATATTTTTGCTTTTCTTTACTTCTCATTTAACTTCTGTAAAATAGAAATTTTAGAATATCTTGATCTAATATTAAGAGTTTACTTATGTGTCAATATGCCCACAGTTCTTAAACATTATTTTTAAGGATGGTATTTTTGTTTTTAACAATATATGTGTATATATATATATATGCTCTAGTTTATTAACATATATATTTATTATAGATTGATAAGCTTTCAAATAATATTATGAGCAAGTAATTATTCTTCATTATTAATCCAAAATTTCAAAAGTTACTTAACTTGATGAATTGACTTATAGTTTTATCAAAGCAATAACAGTGTTTGTAAAAATACTATTTTTATATACGCACTTCCTCTTCTTCTGTTGTTAAAAGGTCATCTATTACTGCAAATGAATTTATTCCAGGGATATCTCTAGCTGACAAAAATGCTGCTACACCAGGTATTTTCTATAAAATAAAAATCTTGTTTGAAACAACAATCACCAACATTTATTGTAGAGGAATTTCCTTTCAAATGTTTCAATACTTCTGCATAGTGTGCAATTAATAACTTACATCCATACATATATTATTACCGTAAGGCTTGAAATCGGTTTTGTACCAAATATAAGCTCCTGTCATGCTCAAATACCATGAATGGGGTACCGTTGGTTTCAGAATTTCACGGGGGGTTAGCGAATCATATTCTCCACTTTTTTTTTCACACTTTTCCCTTGGTTATGCCCATGATTGCATAAAAGATTACTAAATTTCCTACCAAATGAAAAAAAAAATCATCGAAATCGGACAATGTTTAGCAAAGATAGAGCTTACTGAAATTTGTAAACATGTTGGTTCGAAACAAAAATGAAGATTTAAATTAATTTTTGTTTTCTTCGATTATATTTATCGATAAAATAACATTTGACTTCTTTATCTTTTGATACAATGCATTATTTTGTTTTCTTATTAATATGGAATTTGATAACAATATGCTGTGCGAATGTTTCGCACGGGCCTACTAGTCATATAAAAGGTATTAAAAAAGGAGTACCTTAGGGCAACACACTGGGATCATTACTTTTCAATATCTTTATACCAGAATTGGCTAAGCATGATCAGACTTTATTGGCTATATATAATAACTGATGACACAGTACTCCTCATACCTCATACTGTATGGTGAGTGATTGAATAGGCTGGTTTTTTAAATAAAAAAGAAATGCATATTTTTTAAAGCAGTTTATCCACGTATTTAGCTGCTATCAGAGTCATATAAGAATTTAAAAAAATTAACACTATACAATAAAAACTGGTTTCATTGATAGAACCTTTTGCTCGGGAAGTGACACCACGCTGGATATGTCACATCTCATTGTTTGTAATACCCAATCATTGGCTGTTTTCACAACAGAAAAGAAATTGGTCAAATTGTAAATGATCTACAACTAGTGTTAAATAGGTTTTAGTTATAGTACTTATGCAATTTGTAACTGCAAGTAAATATATATATGACTCTTCATGAGATCAATAAACATATCTCAGTATTACTATCTTTCAAAATACTTTTTTTTTTTTCTATGCCTATTATATAACAAATGAGAGTCCAGCAAACACAAATAGTTTTTTTGGTTTTCCTACCATAGCTGGAGAAGTGTCAATTGAGATGATTTTAGTTCGGGCTCTGTCCGTAATAACTAGAGCACCATATAACAACCCAGGAAGGCATGGAATGTCATCTAGATATTCAGCTTCCCCTGAAGAATTATATAAGATATTTTATCATTCTTATTAATACATATATATATTATATATTAATTATATTATATTTGTAATATAAAAATCTTTAAAGTTTTTTTTAATATTTTGATATTTATGGATTGATATAATCAATTACCTGAGCATTGTGCCAAACCTTCTAGTCTTAGCCTGGGCTGGTGGACTGGTGGTTCCTTAGTGCTTGATGGGAAATCTTGTTTTCCCGATGACAAAGGCCTAATTAAATTTATAGCACCACTCCTGAATGTTTTAGAAGCATTCGTTCCGTTAACTTCTAGGATGAACTACAAGCAACCAAAATTCTGTCTGAGATAAAATATTTTTCATTTTACTTGAAATAAATCTTTTTAGAAAATAGGTAAGATATCAGTCAAATTTTAAACACTTTAAACCCGACAACTTTTCTCATTCTAATTACGAGCTCCAATTAAAATAGTTTAAAAACCGTTGGTCAAATAAAATTCTTTATCATAAATGGAAAATATAAAATGAAACATGAAAATGATAGTTATTAGGCTTTGAGTCACCTCATCAAAAATTTCAGTCACCTTATCAGTTTGTCACATTAACTAATTTGATAAATTGAAAGTGCACAAATTTATCTTCAGAATATATGAAGTATTTCACCCTGTAAAAGAGAGCTATGGCAACTAGTTTCCTGTAGTTTGTCGAAGGTTCATCAGCTGGTTCTGGAGAAGGTTGAACCTCTTTCACTAGCCTGTGTTTTGCATCATTGAATACAGAACAATCAAGGAGAGATTTTCCAGTGAGAAAAGCTTCAGTTTCAAATGCATGAGTCTAAAAAATATCAAATTTCATATCATTGTGGTTATTATTTAATCACAATATTACCAAAAGTAACTTAATTTGATGATCATGCTAATATTATCAAACCTGCCACATCTAAAATGTACATTTTAATAAATTATTTTAACAATTGTTGCTATCAATATCATACATGTATTCTATTTTAAAGTGAGATAGCTTATGAAGCTATATCATGACTATTAATGCTACCACTCTATTCTATCATAGTTGAAATTGGTAAGAAATAAATTTAACTGATTTATGAGATCATTAAATTGACATTATTGAAGTAAGAGCTTTAGAGGCGCTAGATAATTAAATCTAGCAGTTCCCCTAATTGAAAATGTATGTTACACATAAATACTTGCCAAAAAATTGTTCACCCATTTTAGGGTTTAATATCTTAATGCCTTCAAACTATAGTAGAAAATACAGTAATCTCCTAGCTACCAAATTTTTTAATTGAGTGAGAAGGTTAGAATTTTAGTTAGCTGATCTGCCTATGGCAGTAATATATAAGTATAAATCAAACTGGCCTGGTCTGATTCGAACCAGTATCACTTATGACTTGAGAATACTCCGTTGCTGCACTTATATTCTCCAACACTAGGGTTTTAGAACAGAGTTGTTTTTAGCTGCCTTAGCCAACCAATCATACATTGCAACATAAGAAAAAAGGTTTTATTCTAAGTAATAACAGTCCACGGTCTTATTTATTATTTGTACTGTAAACATTATGCAGAATACAGAAAATTTAAAAAGGTTAAATATTTTGTATTTTGTAATTTATGAATTTAGCCGAAGCTGAATATTATTTCAAAATTGTAAAATGTAATGAAGTCTTTAGTATTCTTATATTGAAGATTTTAAAAAAAAGAAGTGAATGTTTGTTATAGTATCATATAAATATCAAATTCATGCTCGTCTATTCTTATTTCATAATAATGATAAATTATCATCTTACGAAATTAGGTGATATGTGCCCAAAAACAATTTTTGGCTGTTCTTCAACAATATATTTGTTTGACGATTGCATTCTGAATAAGAATCCAGCATTTACAGTTGCATGAACATTTTGTCTTCTCGCCATAACCTAAAAAAAATATTAGAGTTTTGACTAAAATAAATTTTGTTCCAAGAATCAAAACAAATGAAAATGAAACAATCTAAAAATTATGAGCTAAACTGGATATGTCTTTTTGTTGACTATGAAATAATATTTTCTATTATCCTATAAATGTTATTGTATTTCTAGGAACAAGGTAATTTTGAGAAGGTTGGAAGGGAGAATGCCCTTCATGAAGTCAATAAAAATACAGGAACATATTTCAATCAAGGTTTTGAAGATTGAGTAAGATTTTTTAATCAGTTAGGCAATCTAGGTTCCAGAAAGTAATGGCTCTAGCTTGAAACAGTGAAGTTTAGATATTACATGATTTTTAGAACAAGACATGAAGGGATAAAAAAGGAGACTGATAACTGTGAAGAAGAAAGAAAGTTCTAGTGGAGTTAATAATGTACTTGTCCAAATGTCGGACATGGAGGTATATTGAGTGGGAGAAAAAGCAACGATAAAGGGATGGAGAGATAAAAATAAGTTTTGCAGATATGATTTATCACTGGAGTCAGAAAGGAAATTAGTGTTCAGGTCACTGGAGGAGGCTATATTGAAACAGAGTTAAATAGGGTTGATTAAAAAAGGACACTAACTCATGGAATTAAAACAAGATTTCAACGATTACTCAATTTGTGGCTGATCAGATGATAGAGAGGTATTGCTCTGTGGTCCAGTCCCGCTGTCTCAGTCTTGGCAGATTAGGTATAGTTAGACAGGGAAATCGATATGTAAGGCTTGAGAAAGATTACACAAACACACACACATATATATATTACCTTAAAAGACCTGTAGATATAGTGGCGATCACTCAATGCAGGTAAAATAAAATTTAATATTAATTTCTTGTTCATGTTTGTTGCTAAAAACTCAAGCAGGGTAATGGTAAGATCTGAGCCTGTGCTATCTCCTGCAAAAAAAAAAAAATTATATTAATTTAATAATTTGTCATATACGTATTTTAACATTGTGTAACTCAATTCAAAACCAAAATGGGTTAAGTGTTCCATTGGATTAATTTTTTCATACCTCATTGATTGGTAATCATGAATATGTCAAATATATGTTTGAAAGACATTTTAAGTAATGACATAAGGCATTTTTTTAAAAACTCTTTTAAAGATGGAAGAATTGAGTTAGTTGGTGTCAAAACTTATATGCTAAATTATTACAGGTATTATTAATTATAAAGAATATTCCATAAATCTTCATCTGGCCTGTCAAGAATGTGCCACAAAGCAGATGCATGAATATATTAAACATAGTATATGAGAATTTCCAGGAGATACATCATTTGATAATTGAGTTATGTATCTGGGCATTTAAAAAAAAAATCTATGAGATGTAATAACAAATTATCATTTAAGAATCTAAACATAAACTTACTTATTGTTATTTTGGCACCACAAGTCTCTAAGATGACAAATAAGTCTGATGGAAAGTCTTTGTTCTGATGTTTTATCATGAGGTTACCAGCAAGAGTAGCTCTCTAAAAGAGGAAAATAATAATTAAATCTTCTAGCAGTCAATGACAAATAACAAATTAATACAAAATTTTAAAATCTTTTGATGATAATAAAACATTTACTTTTTTATTATGAGCGAAAAAAATATGTGTATATTATTCATATAAAATCAATCAATGAAATTTACAATATTCTACCTGTTACTCAGTGCTATAAAATTAATAAATCATATTGAGATACAAACATGAATTAAAATTATTTCCAAAAGGTAAAAAAATGAGTAATATTAATTTTAAATTATGAAAGTTTTGAAGAATTCTGTGATCAATCTTAAAACAAAAATGCAATTTTCTTTAATTGAGGCTTGATGTTACAGAATTGAAATTTAAATTCAATAAAAAAATATTGTCTTCCTGTATAATTCTTTATTTTTTCCTCTTTGCGTAACTGGTTTCAGTCTTTGATCAGACCTTCATCAGGCTAACTTATGGTGGTTCTCTTCTTCTGCTCCTCAAATGAGGACTCTTTTGTTCAAATGTCCTCATAACTCAATCTTTGTTCATTATATCTTTTGAAAGAGTTATAATTGATAAAAAATCTTTTAGGTAGTACATGATAATAAAATCTATTGCCTTGCTATGATAACATTACATTGCTTTGTGATAATTACATTGCATGAAACTACATCTTTATGGGATAAAAAAAACTGAAAATATAAGCTATTGAAATGAAATGAAAATATAAGAGTTTGAAATGAAATTATTCAATGACTTAAATTCTAATATTTTCAGTTAAAACCTGATGCTTATAATTAATAAACTTCGATTTGATCCCTTTTGTCATATTATTTTCTTATTTCCAGCTCCAATGTTTCAGCCTCTTGACCATTATAAAGAAGAACCTTAGAGGTCATTTCTCTGTATTTCTTGCTTTTTTTGCTCCTTGGTAAATAAAACAAGAAAGATTTATCATAAGGTTCTTCTTAATAATGATCTATAAGCTGAAACTTTGGAGATGAAAATAATAACAAAAAAGGATCAAATTGAAGTTGATTAGTAATTGTCAATATGTAATTATTTATTAGATAGATATAATGTAATGTTAATAAGTACTAAAAAAAAGTCCAAAGTTATAATAAATGTTAATTGAAGGAAGGAATGAAATGCCAAAACTTTTTTTTTAACCTGGAATGTTGCTAAATTATATATAATTTGTTCTGATACATCATTACAATTAAAACTTGAAAAAACATCCTGTTGTAAAGTTACCCTTAGTTAGGGGTTAACTTTGGGACAAGAAAGAGGAGGATTTAATTTTGAAATATGAAATCACTAAAAATGATACAATTTAAAACAGTCTATAATAATTGATATTGCAGAAGGATACACATAAAATACTAATTGTACCAAATCAGCTTCAGTTTTTGGTATTTAAAAAGCTTAGGCATTAAAATTATTGCTAAAACCAGATTAATTAAAAATAATGTAAAATGAAACTGGATTTAAATGTTATGTTGTAATTTATTTGGTCAAAATATATCTGAAAATAAATAATAACTAAATAAAAGAGCATGAAATTATGTTTACAAGTGGTATTGATAAAGATATGATAAGGCATCTTAGATGACATTCTTGGCATTAATTAATTAAATAATGTAAATCTTTTAATCGAGAGCATGAGAAATGTTAGTGAATCTTGAGTATATATCAGTGACATCTGTGCATAGTGTGTTAAGCGCAATTTTGTGAATTTGCATGCCTATCAATAGAAAGACAATTTTTTTCTCTTTCTTTTTGCCTAATAATGGGCTACGTTATGCGGGAGTTATAGGTATGATTATTCTATCATGAATCATGGGTTGAAACTCAAAAATTGAACTTGCACCTGTGAGAATTCCAAACTTTCAAATGCATTTTTCCGAAAATATGATTTTTGCACTTAACAAACTATGCACAGGTGCCACAAATATGCTGCTCTAAAATGTGAATCTGACTTGGCTTTAATATCCCAAAAGCTAATTGCATATTGTGTCGATTATATAAGATAGAATTAATCTCGTATGGATTTATAATTTACTCACATTTCGCAGGGGAACACTGGCGACAAGATCAATATGGTCTGCCAGCCTTTTAGTATAACCATAAAAAAGTGGATTTTCCAAATATATCTTATGGAAAAATGCTTTCATGTCTGCTAAAGTAATGTTCCCACCAAGAACTATGTAATCAGGGAAAAGAAAACTTATCTTCAATTCTTTTACATCATTTATGTCAATATATGCATCAGGAGAATCATGTTTCTTATAAACACCTAAATAGTGAAGAAAAAAAAAAAAATTTTTGTAACATGTATTGTTAACAAATAAGGTTTGAATTATGAAAAAGATATTAATAACATAGGATTTTATTTTTTTTTAATATGAAAAAGTTATGAAGAAAACTGGTACGACTGAAAATTTTTTAGAAACATTTAACAAATCGTAATTATATTGTTGATTATAATTTCATAAAAGTGGAATAATGTTAAATTGATGGCTATTTTCAGGAAGAGATAGGTCAATGGGTGTAGATTGGAGGAACATAGAAGGAACATTAGCTAGTTTTTTGCTAATTAGAAATATATCTTACTTTTTACTTATTTATTCATATTATTTTTTTAGATTAGAACCAGATCTAAAGTAAATACAGTGGCTTATATTATATTCATATGCCCACATACTTACATATATATTGAATAAAAATTGGTTACATGTTTAAATTAAGTTAGATAACACTTTTGGATCCTCACTAATGAAGGAAGGGGAGCATTGAACTCACGCAGGAAGAGAAAAAAATTTTCATCTTCAGATTATAAAATTTTCAATGCTGTTTTATGTTTTATACATCAAGAAATTAATATGGCTTTCTGCCTTCCTAAAAAGCTTGTTATACTTATATTTAAGAAGTTGGAGGAAAGTTGGTAATTAGAGTACAGATGGTCCAATAACAAGTTCATTTATCTATTATCTATATTATAAAAATAAACAATCAAGACATAAATGTTTTTTTCTTACTCATTTATTGTTTACCATATGTTTAAACCCAATTAAAATTGTGAGGAAGCTAAACTGATCTACTTGGCACATATTCTTTTTAAATGATAATTTCAAGGACTCCAAGGCACTAACTAGCAAAAGATGGTATTGGGTAAGATCACACCTGAGTTACTTGAAACCTGAATATTGGTGGCCATGAAGACTTGTGTGTTGGTTAGTGACTGTAGTTTACTTCACATTATACTGTGAAAGATGTATTTGGTTAATGTTAGCCAGAAAAATAATACACTGCAAAAATTTGGGATGGATTTATTACTACAATACATGTGCAGTTTCTACTTAGTGAAGCTTTTACATGTGAAGTTTGAACTTAGCATGTTGCAAGGTATATAAAGAAAAGTGAGTAGACCGAAGTTGAGATGGATAGATGGAGAGAATGTAGATGCCGGAATAGTTGGATTCAGGAACTGCTGCACAGGATAGGGTGCAAGATCCAGCAATGGAGCTCAGGGTAATGCTGACGATGACATGTGAAGTGGAAAATTTATGATGGAGGGATCACTTCTTTTATTGAGTTTCTCTTTGGAATCACAGGATTATCTCTAGAAGATGGCTAAAGTTTTCTAAATATTGTGGTCTATGAAACACTCTCTCACTAGATGAAAAACTTCTTTTGAATACCTCTTTTGGCAGATAAATAACCTGATTTGTCACAATGTAACCAAGGAACAGTGTGGATGATCTCCAAAGTTCTATTGGATATGTTTTGATGGGTGACCCATTAAGTTAGAGGTGCTCATCCCCTCCCCCAAGGTCGATGAAATTCTCTCTTCCCCTCCCCCACACTCAAGATATTTTATTACTAAGCTCTTCTTAAAAATAGTGCAAGAAAGTAGAATTTAAACAATTTCAGATTATATAGAATTACACACCCTGTAGTCTGTTCCATGCTTCTCCTTACCTTCTGGTTTCAAACTTTTCATTCTGAAAATTCATAACCCCGTCGATTCAAAATTTCAAAAACTCTTCAAAATGTGCCCTCCTTAAAACTTTTGATGGCGCAGCTTGCGCCATCAAACCTCCTTCTGGGGACCTCTGCAATAAGTGTCTCACACCATCACCAGTCACTTCCGGTGTAACCAAAGCCCTTAATGTTTCTCTCCTTTTTAAAAATAAAATCATGCCTGAATCAATTGCGTTTCAAGTAGTACTTTGTAATTACATATTAAATCTTTACAATATGATGCTTCACATGCTGAATTAAATTAAAATTAAATTAAAATTAAATACAATTAAATAAATTTAAAAAAACTATTTAGCGTTAAATACATAAAACAATGTATACAGTTTTACTAGGTAATACATTTTGCAGTGTTGCCTGCAACTAGTTGGTATTTAGCATCCCCAATCATATCGAAAAGCTGGAAAACTTCTTCCACTTTTGAAACCCTGTACCAAGATGCACCAGAACGTAGTTTCAAATGAAGATTTCTAGATATCATACTTGCTTCTAAGAACAGACGAGAATAATCATCATCGTCGTCATTGCTTTTGTTGCAACCGATTTCCTCTTGTTTGCCTAGATCCTACATAAATTTAAATTTCATTAAGATGCAATTTTTATAAGGTAATTCAAATACCAAGGATCATATGCCATAATAGTAAGTACCTCTATATCTGAAAGTTTGTCTTTTAGACATTTTGGTGCGTCCTTGGCAAATGATTTAAAAGCGTCAAGAATAGGTCTATAACCAGTGCAACGACATATGCTTGAGCCGAATGAGTTTTCGATTTCTTCCATTTTTACCTCGGGGTTACATTTCAGTAGACTAGAAAAACAAAACAAACATATTTTTCTGTAAATGGCTATAAATTATAAACTAAAATTTTAATTAAACTTCAAACATTAAAAACATTAATATTTAAAACTGACATTTGTCTTTGAAGTATCATAAAAAAATACATAATGAAATATTCCCCTTTTAAGCTATTGCAGCCGATTCGAACCTCCACCTCGACATCAAAACAGATATTTCAGATGAAAAAATAAATAAATAAAAAAAATGTGATACACAGAGAAAACAAAGACTAGAAACTAAGTAAAATTGTATGATGTAAAACACGGGCGGATCTACGGGGGGGGGGGGGGGGCTTTCGGGCTGAAGCCCCTCCAAAATGGTAAAATATAACCATGTTTTATCGAAAAAAATATTTAAAAAGTATCTCTTAAAGTATTATTATTCGTGTAATTACATTTAAAAGGGCTTTAGGAATAACTTAAACACCATTTCATACAGGTAGTTAGTTTCTTTCTTTTTTTCCAAAGTAATTATCGTTATTTTTATGAAAAAAAAAACCTTTCGGGCTGAAGCCCCCCCCAAAAATAAATCCTGGATCCGCTAGTGATGTAAAATAATAGGTTGGTTACCAGGAGGCACTAACGGATCCAGGATTTCATTTTTGAGGGGCTCCAGCCTCATTCCTTCATTTTTTCTATGGATTTATTAAGATAATTACTTCGGAAGAATTAAAGAAACTAATTGTAAGTATCTAGACGAAATGGTGTTTAAGTGATTCTTTAAGTTCCATTAAATATAATTAGACGAACAATAATACTTTTAGAGATATTTTTTTTCATAAAACATGGTTATATTTTCTCATTTTGGGGAGGAGGGGCGCTTCAGCCCGAAAGCCCTCCTACCTCCGTAAATCAGTCTGTTCCAGGAGGATAGAGGAAGTGATGGTCGAGGACGTTGGAACGTGGGTCCCAAAGTGTCCGGTTTTGTGAACTTTGTGAGTTCGATTCCCACCAGGGATCGGCTAATGGTCATAGAGAAAGATACATTTTACATTTCTCGGCGGCCCTAAGAAATGAATCATGACACCCCCACTCTGGTAAGTAAGCGGCATACCGGTACCTGTTGGATATCCAACACTCGTGCCAGAAATGGCTGGGTAGAGAAATAAAGAAAAGAAAAAAAATAGCATGGTACAGTTTCATGCAGATAATTTATATAATAGTATAATTCGTCTTTGTATAATTAACTTTATAGTAATATATTATTACTATTATATTATTATAATTACTAATAAAATGAATCTTTTATCAAGACTAATCAGAATAGATAGATTATCAAGGGTTTTTACATTACCTGTACATGTTCATAACTTGTGCTGGAGAGCAATAGCCACACTGGGTCCCGTTGAAGTAATAAAGTGCTCTTTGAATCTTGTGATATCCGATTTTCTTATTGCCAATGCCTTCGATGGTAGTTATCGCGGTACCGTGGCAGCTGAACACCGGAACTAAACACTGATAATAAATGCATTAACGATGAATATAAACAAATAATGCATCCAACTAGAAATGATTTGCTTTATTTTTAAAATAAGAAAATATTATTTCTTGAATAAGAATAAAACTGAAAAAAATTTAAGGTACGAAAATTTATTTTAGCTTTGATAGAGAAAAACAATTTAGTGTATCCTGGACCTATATTGAGTTAGCTTTCTTAAAATGATTTTTGCCCTTGTAAATTTTTTTGTATATCGCTGTAGTTAGAATGTACAAAGGATCTATAATGATGAACAAACAGATAATTAAATATTGTTACTTGAGTGTTTTTATTAATGTAAGTATATTTGCTAAAAAATATATTTCTATGGTCATAGAAGCATTTATTAAAAGCGAAATGTTTTTATTTTCTGAATGGATAAAATTAAGCTCAATAATTTATTATAGGTTATCAGAACACCGTCGCTTCCTTAGGTCGAAAAAAAATGACATTCTAAGATAAATGGATTTTAAAGAAAAAATTTATAAATATCTATTGCCTCTTCAAAGTAGTGCAATAATAATTGCGTTAAATGATATTAATTATTAATTTGCGTTAAAAGTTCAAAACCGCAAAAAATTTAATTAATCGCGAGATAAAGCCGGGGAGTTCGATAAACACCTCTCTTATATATTTCTTTCCCATATGGAATTCCATCCCACCCACATCGAAACAGGAGAGGAATTTCTAACATCACCTATTCCAATTTCTCTGCCCCCTAAAGCAGTTCATCCTTCCGAAGTCAAATTTCATTTACAAAACCTAATCCTTCGTAAATCTCCTGGATATGATCTCCTTACTCTCCAGATCCTTCGACATCTTCTATCCAGAGCAGTCATATTCCTCACATCTATCTACAATTGCCGTCTACTTTCGTCTGTTATGGAAATATTCCACTGTCATCCTTTTCCTAAAACCAATGAAATCTCTCAATAGCTTGATATCCTATAGACCCATTAGCCTACTCCCACTTCTTAAAAAATCTTTGAAAAGGTCCTTTTGAAACGAATCCTACCCATTATAATGTAGAATCCCAAAATATTCCTTCTCATCAATTTGGTTTTCGCTATCAACATTCTACAGCTCAACAAGGACTCCAAGTTGTTGATCATATTTCACAAGGATCATAGAAAACAAGGAATATTGTTCTGGTGCATTTCTTGACATAGCACAGGCTTTTGACCGGGTATGGCCCCCTGGGCTTCAAGTTTAAAATCCATCTCCCTTGACAGTCCTTATACCTAATCTTTCGATTCTAATCTCTGACCGCTCCTTTCGAGTACGTTGTGGAACAGCATTTTCCGATATCTATCAAATTAAAGCCGGTGTTCGAAAGGGCAGCGTCTTGGGTCCCGTTCATTATTTCCTCTTTACCGCTGACCTCCCTTCCCATTTCAATACCTTCCTTGCAACATTTGCTGATGACATCGAATTCTTATCATCCTACTCTGACGACCCCGAAATAACATCCTTAAATCTGCAAAGGTATTTCTCCTTGATTGAGTACTAGTGTAATGATTGGCTCATTAAAGTAAATGAATCCGAATACCAACATATTATCTTTACACTCCGACGAAATTCCTGTCCACCAGTATAATTTAATTCCATCCAGCTTTCTTTCTCAGACACAGTCCAGTATCTTAGTTTTTTTTTTAGACTGAAGACTAACATGGAACCCACATAATAGACTCAAAAGACAAGAACTCAACCGACGATACAACCAACAATACAGACTACTGAACAGAAAATCTAAACTTTCTATTGAAAACGAATTATTTATCTACAAGACAATCCTGAAACATATATGGACATACGGACTTGAAACTGTGGGGGACAGCGACATTTTCTAACATCAAACACATCCAATCTTTTCAATCTAAAGTCATTCGAATAAACGTTGATGCTCCATTCTATGTAACCAACAAAACCCTTTAGTATTATTATTATTCTTTATTATTTATTGTAAATAGAGTGTGAATGTGCACTCTGAAGACTATTGTAAATGTACTTAATTCTGAAAGATTGTAATATTTCTCAATAAATATGTTTTAAAAAAATTAATCGCGTTTTACGCATAGTTTCTTTCTTTTTTTCATTTGCTCTTAATATTGTTAATGACTTACAGAAGTCACGGCGAAACTCCTATCCCGTCCAGTCGCTGGATCCGCAGCAGTCATCATGACCATACAACATCCACACCCTCCTTCCATGCACATCCATTTTGTCCCTTTAAGGCCGGCATGATTCCTGATGTACGTGGTGAGTGAAGTGTCCGCATCGACTTCGGATCCAGTCACTAGACGTTGTTAAAGAAAAATAATAGTTAACTATACTAAATTGCATTCTCACTTATTTTTTTACAATAAAGAGAAATTTGGTTTACAGCAATATATCTAAAAAAAAATAATGAGAAATGGTAAAATTATCTGTCATTCGGCAACTTCAAAACTTTTCTCGAAGCATCAGCAGTAAGACAAGATGTATGTAGTTTACTATTGTAATATCAATGGAAAAATTTCATACAAATCTAAGAAACACATAATTACGGTATAATGAAGTATTGAACAATTTTTGAGATGTCATAATCTTAAATCGGGTGAGCAATATATTACTGACACCGGAACGAATCTAATTTTATTTTTTGAAATGGTATTACTTATACATACATAAAATAAATAAATATATAAACTATGACTGCTAAAGTGAAATTATATTAATAAAATAATAAAATTTACCATGGTGTATATTTCCATTTATCGTAAATGTGACTTGATTCTCCCTGAAACAATAAAATTACTTGGTCTAACAACATGAGTATTAATGATAAACGAATTTAAATAAGTAATCATATCTATCATATACTCTGATGGCGAGAATAAAAAAATATAAAAATTTTGGAAATGATTTTTTTTGCATATCTCATTCCATTATTTTTTTAAAATCTGCTTTTTATTAAAGCACAATTAAGCATAGGCGCCGACATTTGATTTTGATCGGGAGAAGGAGGTGAGGGATCAAAAAGAAAAAAGAAATAGCGGGATTTTTTATTATGTGTAAAGTAGAGTTTAGTTTCAAATTGTTATTGTAAAAATTAACTTTATAAATTCTAGGTCAATGACTTATTTTCTCCTTTGATACCATTTACTTTACCGGAAAAAAAAATCTTGATTAATAATTTATCCATTTTATACATGAGATTTATTTTCTATAGGGAAGTTTCTAAATAACAACATTTTCTATAGCTCTCTGTCCATAAATATTAATTTATTAATTCAATTTTAGAGCATATTTTCAATTATCACGTCTACATCCATTTTTTTAATTGATCAAAACCTAATATTTTAAATTTATTTTAGAAAGTAATAACTAATGTATTTATCATAAAATTTATAATAAAATCATAAAAACTCTTATTAATGTTATTTGTTAAGTACACTTTCAAACAACTCCAGCTTACCAGTCTTCTAACCAATTCATAACACTTGCACAAGATTAAATGTTGAGGACAAACTAGAAAAATGCACTGAGCTATTTCTGATTTCGCCTTTTTTAGCTTGGCTAAGAAATGAGCAACGTACCAACTCCATAAATTTTAATTACACTTAAAGAACACGAATTTATTGAGGAAAAGCTCGTTTCTAACGTGCATGTACGTGAGAGAATTTCTTTTACGGCGTGTTTCTTAAATAACGATTCTTTTACCTACGCGTTTAAATAATTTAATTCATTAAGAATTTTTAAGAGGAACACATTGTTTCCCTGTTTTTACAAAAGATGGATACTGATAATTATGATTATTTTCTCAAAAGAATAAGTCTTGGCTTATTTTTGGGGGCGGTTTTGACCACTTGTCCCATTCTTTAAATGAGTTTGAATACCTTCTCAAATGAGACATTATTGCCAAAATCAGAAGGGGATCCAGGATTTATTATTTGTTTTTTTTTATATTTTATTTTATTATTCTTGTTATGCTAACGGTAATTACTCTGGAAGAAAAAAATATATAACTACATAAAATAATCTTTAAATAGTTCTTGAAGGACTGTAAAAACAAAAAAAAAAAAACCGTATTTACAGAAATAATAATGAATACAATTTTTTTTCTACGTATTATTCCTTGGTCTCTCCCCTGGTTTGGGAAAAACCCGTATAGCCGAACAGAAAAGGAAGCCGAGGAAAACAATAATATACCTAACTAATAAATCATAAAAAAGAAGTAAAAGCTCATAATGCTCATTAAAAAACGCTGCAAATTATTTCACAATGGTTTATTATTTCCAAACAATTATACATCTAAAGTAACATTACCATCCGATTTACAAAGAAAAAAAAAAAAAAAGGTGATTCCAATTATTGGACTAAACTGTTTTTCTTTAACCATTAGTAATATGCTAAAAAAAAATAGCATTAGTTCAGTAACACATTCAAAATTTAAAAAAAAAAACCAAGGATATAACATTTGGAGTAGAACATATTTAAAAAAACCGGAGACCATATCTTTGCTCCTAATTGTCCGATTTAAAGGATTTTTTTTTGTTTTTTAGGAAATTTCGTAAACTTTTATTATTAATACAATATCAACAAAAAAGTAAAAACTTTTCGAGTTATTCGGAATTTAATTTTACCATCCCTCGTAACTTTTTTTCCAGCTTCTTTTCGTTGAAGTATGTTATATAGATAAATTTAATGGGCGTCGAGAAAATGACTTTAGCGAAGATTCATTGAAATCTGTACATTCGTTTAGGAGCTACAGTCTATAGCAACGCAGGTTTTCCGGCCGCCATTTTGAAAGTTAAAGGCGGAGAGTAATGTCGATGAAGGAGGATCATCCTCGGGCGACCTCTGATTATATATCAAAATTTGAAAAAAAAATCGGTCCAGTAGTTTCGGAGAAAATGCGCGGATGGGGGACGGCGGACGGCGGCCGGACAAAAAAATTTTTAATCGTTTTTCGAATTCTACGCTTCCGTGAAAATGTGAAACCTCAAATTTTGAGAGGGCGTTAAGTTTTTGAATTTTTCGGTCGATCACAATGGTTGATTATTAAAAATAATAAACCAAAAACTTAATGATTGTTAAAAAAACAATTGTTGGAGACGTTTAAAAAGGTATGAATCAAAATATATTCTATATTTATATAGGTCAACAACTTAACGGAAAACATTTTAGTGCATATGTTTTCCTTTTGTTTCTCAGATAACAATCAATCGACGAATTAGTGTACGCGATCGAAAGAATATAAAACAAATCAAAATTACAATCTACAATCATGCGAGGGAACTCCGAGGCTGGTTTGTCCCTCCAACTATGGAGGGAAAACCTGAACTCCAGGAGAACCCTGCGCCACTCTCTCAACCGCATCACTGGTATTAATGCCAGCGGAGATTGATCGAGAGCATTTTTAAAATTAACATGGAATATATTACTTCAGAAAATTTGAAGCGAATCTTTCAATCTAAACTGCTCCTGCAATAGTTTTCCCTGGTAGTTTGCCAATACTTACCTATGGTGAATAACAAGGAGCTTATTTTGGAGCTTTTTCGAGGAACTAGGTGTTGATGTTGGGGAGCTTGCGATATTGGCCGAGAATATTGTTTTGGACTCCCTGGGGATCATCCATTATCATTTATATAGTAATTGAGGATGACTTTTATTAATTATTTATTAATTCATTTATTTAATTTTAATTTTTTCTATTATCGTCTTATCTTTTTATCTACATTAGTGGAATTACTTTGGTATATATGTAGTGTTGAATTCATGGCATCAAATTCTTTTTTACTTTCCTACCTATACTAGGTAAGGAAAGTATTGCAATCGGGTCAAATTTCCGACATGCGGTTTTCGACGGATCTATACGTTTCACAGCCCCCTGAGTCCGAAAAACACATTTTTAGCCATTGGTCTGTCTGTCTGTCTGCCTGTGCCAAGATTTTCTCGGGAACAACTGAACCGTTCTTGTTGCTTCTTTTTTTATTTTGTAGGGTTTTGACTACCGATGCCTGTGACAGAAATCCATGCGCAATAGCTTGCGCGCAATAAATGAAAAACACGTTTTTCTATAGACTGTAGCGCAAAAACGGCTCTAACGATTTTGATTAAACTTTCCTATAATGTTCTAATCATTGCCGTTTCAATTTTTGTATATGGACTAAATTCCCGAAAAAATTCAGAAAAAAAGTTATAAAGAAAAGAAAATTTTTATGGGGCCTAACTCGCTAAGTATATATTATACGGTAAAATTTATAATAAAACTTTTGAAAGGTAATTAAATTACCAACAAAACAAAAAAAAAATCATTGGAATCGAACCAGTATTAGCGATGATACAGCTTATTCTATTTTTTACACATTTTTAAAACTTATTTTATTACTTTCCTACCTATAATAGGTAAGGAAAGTATTGCAAGGAAGAAAAAAAAAGAAAGGAAATATATATATATATATATATATATATATATATATATATATATATAACAATTATCTTGCCTACAGTTCTTTATGGATGCGAAACTTGGCCGCTTACATTAAGTTTATGAAAATAAAGTATTGCGTAGAATATTCGGACCGAAGAAGGATGAGTTAACGGGAGATTCAGACGATTACACAACGCCGAATTGCGTGAGCTGTATCCGGGTAATATAATTGAGGTAATATAATCGCGACGAATCAAATGGGCTTGTAAAGTTGTTGGGCTTTTATATATTATTATATATATATATATAAATAGAAAAATGTAACATAACAGTATCGTCCATATGGATTGATGTATATACTGTGTATGAAGCAGCCCTATGGACTAGGGCAGCATTAATTTAGTAAAGTATTTCTCTCTTATTTAACCACAAGTGGTACTAAAATTTTGACTGCAAGTGTACAGCCAGCTCTGATTTGCCCAGTTTGCTCAAATTTTAAAGTTTTCGAAATGTCACATTTTTCCCTAACATAGATATTTTTTTATAGTTCATTATATGTGGCATTTCATTATAGTTTTTGCCAGTTTGACCAGACAGTTAAAACATAAAACAAAATACAAAATAAAAAGGAATATCATTTGGAAGTAGTTTAGGAAGCTTCTAAATCTAAATAATCTAATATAAATATAATCTAAATCCAAATAACGCAAACTAATGCTTTGAAAATAAATTTATGACGAATTAAAAAATAAATTGTGTTACAAACGAAAATAATTTAAACTAACGCTTGCAAGAAATTTCGTACTACTAGCTTTCCGTTCGTTTGCTTTATTTCAATGTAAATCGTGCGAGACAGAACCGAAGGCTCGATTACAGCTATTAGAACTTTGCGCAATATTGGGTATTGTTTAAACTACATCAATGTTTGAAGAGTACTAATTACAGTTATATGCTTATGAGTGTTTAATAACATATCGTAATTTTAATTCGAATATAATTAGTACGAATATTGCGGAGGATTGCGATTTTTCCACTGTTTTTTCTTGATATTGAAAAATGAAAAATATTTCTTCTTAGTTGAAAACAATTATACGCAGTATTAAACTTTAAACCTATAATTAATGTAAGTGAAATAATTTTCGTTAAATTGTTTCGAAACATGTTAGTGATTTTAGAAAGTATTCCGAATTATTTTAATTCTAGTTATCCAAAAAGTTTGTTCAAATATAGTAATAGTAGGTTAAGTCTAATTTTCTGGCTTTCGATTTAAGTATATGTTTCAAACTTTATTTTTCTATGAAGAGAAGAATAGTTGGAGTGATCAGTCAAATAAGAAGGCAAACATAAATGATAATATTGATTTTGACATTTGCCGACGTTTCCACCTGAAGTTCAGGCCTTCATCAGGGCTATCTCCAAAAAGGTTGATGGAGAAAATTTTCTCCTCTCAATCTTCTCAATTTATTTCAAAATAGTGAATAAAAAATGTTCGTATGAGTCTATTCGAAATTGTACGAAATTAATTAAAAAAGGACTATTGTTATCCCCACCTACATTATAGTAAGGCTCTAAATCGGGTTTGAACCAAACATAAGCTTCTGTCAAGCTCAAATACCATGAATGGAGTACCGTTGGATTCAGAATTTCACTGAGAGTTAGCGAATCGTACTCTCCGCTTGTGCTTCTTTCTAAAATAAATGAAGTCGATATAAACATTTTTCTAGGTTTCGATACTGGAACGGTGGTAAGTCTGTAGATCGATACGGGACAAATTGGATTTTGAAGATATTGATGTATACACCAAGATCTGTATAGTTTCCTCGAAACTATCGGGCCCTAAGTTCTTAAGCCCAAAAACGTACTATTTTCATGATAATGCAAGACAAAGGGTTCGCATCTACACAAACTTATGTTCATTGTAGAACTGTTATGGAAAACATGTCTGATTTCATTGTCTTGAGATCTCTATGATCGAGAGAGGAGGAGTTTATATTGTTTTTCTTGTCTTAAGGAGGTGTTTTTAATACGCTAAGCCATATCATCGTTAATTCTTCACAAAATCCATAGATTGAGCCACCAGTTTTGAAGATTTCCTTCTCCTTCAGTCCAATCCCCCCGAAAATTCAGGCAAAAATGTTATGAAAGTTAAGAAACTTTATTTGCGGATATCTCAAAAATTAAACATTTTTCCCATTAAAAAAAAATCATCGAAATCGGACAATATTTAGCAAAAGTACAGCTTTTTGAAATTTGTAAACATGATGGTTCCAAACAATAATTTTTTTTTCTACCCCACAGGAATTTCTTTATTACAAAGTACAATATATAAATGTCAAACAATAATGAAGTTTTAAATTAATTTTTATTTACTTTGTCGATTATATTTATCGAGAAAGTAATAATTGATTTTTCTATCTTATGATACGTTGCAGTATTTTCTTTTCTTATTAATTTGGCATTTGATCGACGAATTTTTCGCAGGAGCCTAATAGTTTTTAAGATTTTATATCTTCTTACTATTAGAGAATCGCTCGCTGTAGATTTTCCTTGATTTATATTCATGTGTTAATAATTAATTCTTTGTTTAGCAAAATGGAACAATTATATATTTATTATATACCATTAACTTTGATCATTATTTATTTCTGTTGAAATTACTAATTAACAGGTGCTCGATAATTAGTTGATTTAGAAATGGTATAAATGCGACGGAAATCAGCGCTGCTTACAGACTTCGTCGTACCGATCTAAGGTGAGTATCGATATTATTCTTTATGTTGCCTATATATGGTTTAAGAAAATATAAAAATCGTTAAAAACTAATTTGATTGGGATATTCAACTTAAGTTGGAGCATTAAATTAATTTAGGCCACGATTTTCGCATGTTCTCACAATGAAAATATGTTATAACTCAGGAATAATTTAACTTTATGTTTACAAGCCTTTGCAGAATTATGCATGATTATTAGGCATTCGGTATTTTATAGTATATGTAATATGTCGCTACTGCTTGTGAAAATAGTCGTATGTTATAATTTTCCATATTTACTCTATTTGTGCTAAAGGTGACATTTTGTAGTCTGCAAATGCAATAAATAGTCAGCTACTATGGAAAGTAGCTGAGGGAAATAAAATATGACGTTATGCCCATAAATCATAAATAAATAATCTCAGTTTTTATGCTCTTCAGGAAAAAATAAATACATTTTTACATACAATCTTCTTCATTAACAGTAACGATATGTTTTTAGTGAAATAGTTTAATTCAATAGGCATTTTGCTAAATCTAGTCAAAACTTAAATTATTTCGGCGTTAATAAGACATATGAAATATTTTAGTGATTAATTTCAAAACCGATTCAATCAGCTTTTTTTTCACATTTTTGTTTTCAAACTTCACTACCAAAGCCGTACTGACCAGAAGCATCTCCATCCAATGACGACTTAGATATTCGGCGCCCTCGGACAATTTATTTCATTATTTTTTTTGTTTATTTAGTAGTTAGCAATCAATTTATCTTTTAAGTTGTTTTATGTATGTTTAGTGACTTTTGATACAGGAAACCCTGTATTAACACGTTAGCTGCGGTTACGGTTCCCGGCATCTATCAGATAAAATGATTATTTACGTTGTTATCTATCTTTACATATATCCAACTTCCATTCAAATATTTTAAAAAATGACCATTTTAGAGACCTCATAAGATAGGCAAAATTCGAAAACATCCCGGCCGAATATCGGAACCCGGGGACCGCCGCTTAAAATAACCCAATAATTACCAGTGTTATTACGACTGACGGAGTGATCCAGCATATACAAAGGTATGGTGATTTATATGGTAGGATTGTAAGCTTCTATAATTTATGTTAACCTTAGGATGAGATCATGGAAAGTGTAGGAAAATTTGTCAGATCGTTTTGGCTGGATCCTCAAACGAGGTAGGACCGATTAAGCATTCTAAAAAAAATTGATGCCAAATACGAAGATCGGTTGAATAAAACATCAAATTTCACGATTATATATTAAAATGGTAGTAATGATCAACAAGAACTTTTACGTGGAAGAATTTCAACAAATTTCGCGAAAGCGCCATATTCTACGACGAAATGTTGACGCTGGACGAAACGCTGCTTCCTAAAATTGTCTTCCTGCAAAATAGGCTCAAGAGGTGCAAGAGGTAGATTGCAAGAACCTGCACTGCCTTTTGAGAAACTGTCCTGTACGCCTTGGCGACTCGCAGCAGAGTCTGCTGAGCAAACTCATTCGTTATGTTGTCACCAGCATTCTCTTCTACGTGTATAAGAGATTCTCATTCCAAGCAGGAGAAGCTTACTTCTTCTAACCAAGACTTCTTTATAAATAATCATTGTGGGGCTAGATATATAGAAGCCCAAAAGGAGCCCCTAATACGATAAAATTCATTAATGGGTTGGGTCACCAATATCCTTTGTAACTTAATAGATAACCGTCATTCAGGGTTATGTGTATATTCTTATACTTTTTATGCAGAGACTTCCCAAAATATCCAAATCACATTGAATTTCCTCCCACTATAATTCGAAGTAAGGTTACAAACTCGGACATGTTCTCATTACTTGTGTAGCCTAGTCATAGCCTGAGCCCCATCAGTCATATAGGTGGAATCTGATAAGTATGGAAAAATTTAGGCACCGACTCACAATCCTTGAAAATTTCATCGAATCGAATTAAGGGTAGTAGATTGTATGCATGACTTGTATTTCACCGGAGACAGATACACATAATACCAAGTAGTTCTAAGAAACATCACTAACTTCGGAAAACAGGAAGCAGTGAATAAATGAAAGTATGAATCATATGAGAATAGGATGTCCAAGATAATTCGATTGAATTTAAAGATTAAAACGCTCTGTTGAGTTATAACCATACCCATATAAGCAAAACAAAATATGGGTACGTTGCATTTTTATTGCTCGACCAGCACCACTTTTAACGTAAAAACATGTATACAACCTGATTAAGAAATGTATTGTTCCAAACAGATGTTGTGGTGGAATTTCGTACTAGTTGTGTGCTTGGGATTTGGAGCCCATGCTGATAATTCCCATGAGACTGGCGTAGGATCCAAAACAGGGTCTCTGACAACATCCTGTCCTTGTGGAATGTCCAAGGTAACTAATATTTAAGAATGCATTTTTATTTACAAAACTTAAATAATACAACTTTAAGGATAATTTTTAAATAAAATGTGTACTGATTTTATTTTCAATGCAGAAAGGAAGAATCGTTGGAGGTACCAAGGCCCTGCCGAATGAATACCCATGGATGGTAATGATGGTTAAAGGTAACAGTATGGATGTCTTGTGCGGGGGCTCAATCATTAACACTAAGGTCGCCATCACAGCCGCTCACTGTGTTCATAGGTTGCGTAGTAATACAAAACTCAATATCATTGCTGGAACATCTGACGTCAACAAGCGTAAGACAAATATAAATTTTATTTATTACTGTATATACAATGTAAATCAACTGTTACCATTTTTTGACTTAGGTAGTTAGATTGCTTCATTATCTGTAAGTAATATATCATTGCAATGTTTTAAAAATGTCGTGAACTAGTGAAGTATCCCATAAAAAAGGTGATTCGGACAAAAAATTATATATTTTATTTTTCAAATTAACCAATAAATAAACAAAACATGGAATTCATATATGAAAAATTTAAAAAATAATAATAAATTCTATAAAAATATTGAGATTATTATTTCACATATATTCTTTGTAATTAGAGAGAGGTAAGCATCCTTAATAGAACATGAACACCAAAGAATAAAAATCACTGAGAATATTTTGTGAATTACTGAATGATGACCATTATAAATGCGTTTTGCAAGACAGCGCATTTATAATTGATAATCTTTTTGAGATAAAAGTGTTAAAATTTAACTAATTATATAATTAAGGCGATAATGATCCTAGTGGTTACTCTTTTTATTTTATATATTTTATTTTATGCAATTTGCATCTGCGCATCTAGCAAATTTGTTGTATTTTTATTGTAATTGCTTGATTTTTTTTTATGTTGATGTTTTTATTGATGTAGTAGGTCTCTTGGCCATTTTCTTCTTAATCTTCGTTGCTCAGGTAACAGGGAGCAGGAGATAGAAAGAACCAGAGGATTGGAGTGATTTTGGGTTGAAGAATGAAATGTAGTGTATTTTTCGTGGATGTAGGATTTTACTGTTGGGGTGTTTAAGTCTTTATGTATAGTACTGTTTGAAATGTACCAAGGTGCGTTAACAATTTTTCGTAAAATTTTTGATTGTGCTGTTTGTATTTTGTTTATGTGTGTTTGTTTTGCTGAACCCCTAAGTTCTGCTCCATATGTCCATATTGGTCTCAGTAAGGTGTTGTAGATAAGTCGCTTGTTTCGTAAGTTAAGTGAAGATCTGTAGTCCAGAAGATGTGAAAGTTGGCTATATCGTCTAGTAAGTTCTTGTCTTTTTAATTTCGTATGTATGTTCCAAGTAAGTCTTTTGTCTAAGTAGAGTCCAAGGCACCGTACATAGTTCTTTGAAGGCTCTGGATTATTGGCAATCGTTATGGGTGGACATGAGGCTTTCCTAAGAGAGAAACTAATGTGGGTTGATTTTGTACTATTAATTTTGATTTTCCAGTTTTCAAACCACTTTTCAAGATCATGAAGATGGTTTTGTAGGGCAATTGATGCGATAGTAGGATTTTTGTGTGAAGTTAGAATAGCAGTGTCGTCAGGGCAGCAATAAATGGTGGTATTAGGGTGCTCAGGGATATCAGAAGTGTATGTAGAATAGAGGATTGGCCTTAAAACGCTACCTTGTGGTAGGTTACTCTTTTAGAATTAAAAACATATTTATTCAAATAAACTTATTTATCAAAACTTATGATGAAATGATAATAATCTTTTGACAAATATAAATGATATATAATCCTTTCTTGTTAAAAAAGTGGTAACGTTAGCTTAATTTATTATTCCATTTTGGATTTATTTTATTTCATATCTGCGTCATATTTTAAATATTTTTTTTTTATGATCTATGTCTTTGTACTGTTGTTACTTATTATTAATAATATATATACGGCTTTTTTAATAAAGGTTTTAATTGCAGATTTAAGAAACACCTAAAAATTGTAAATTCATCGATTACCTCAATTCAGTTTTTCAATTTTCATACCTTCACGTTTAAAAATTGAACGCTTTGTCTTAACGTTTTGGTTTTTTTTTTCAGCTGGTCAGATTGTGCCTGTGAGTAGCTGGATTAAGCATGAGGCATATTATAGTCCTGAAGCTTCTCAGACTGTCAACGACATCGCTCTACTTCTGTTGGCAAAGCCTCTTCAATTCAACCCCAACGTAGGACCAGTCTGCATGCCTACCGGCAATTACAACCTCAAGAATAAGTGGGTCAAACTAATCGGTAAGTGTTAAAGAATGTCTTAACGCAATCATAAGCAAAGAAGACTCAATTCAAGCAATACTGAAATCATAATATAATGTACACATCCGGTGCAAGTATAGGCGCGAGGGTGGTTATACTCTCCAACCAATTTTTTGAGTGGAGAGAATATCGCCGCCCCCCCAATAAACTGAGGTAAAAAATTAAAATCAATAATAAATAAGCAGCATGAATGTAAGCTAAAATCAATTAAGGAAAGCGAACTAGCTGGCTATGCTAGGGATTACTAGTACGTATGTAACTAGTTATATTCAAAGATAATAATATATTTCAACATATCCTAGTATTCTATTAGTAGTATGATTCAATCACACCCCCAATTTTCAAATGCCTCTATAGTTCAGTGGCTAGCATGGGAGCTTGTTATGATGAAGGTTCCCGGTTTAAGAGCTTTAAGGGCTTTCGGGCTGAAGCCCCTCTCCAAAATGGTAAAATCTAACCATGTTTTTCAGAAAAAAATATTAAAACTATCTCTTAAAGTATTCTTGTTCGTGTAATTACATTTAATAGGACTTCAAGAACCACTTAAACACCATTTCATATAGGTAGTTAATTTCTTTCTTTTTTTTTCTAATTAATTATCGTTATATGTATTTGAAAAAAAAAATCTTTCGGGCTGAAGCCCCCTCCAAAATTAAATCCTGATATATGAGACAAATTGTTAAAAAAATAATCACGAGTTCGCGTCCCGATGCCGGGGAAGTCTTTTAAGTCTCCGCTTAAACTTTCTGGCCCGTGAAAATCCGTATAGCCTTAAAGGAAGTACCCCTCCAAAAAAAAAAAAAAAAAAAATTGTTATGTGATATGCTTATCTACTGTGACAAACTAGTCGGACTGTGAAAAACGCTGTATATTTATTTTATTTGAGGTTCTACACACTAAGAATTCAAAGATTTTTTTTACATTAATCATTTTTAGCTGGAAAAGTTCTAGAAATATACCAATGTTAGTTTTGAAAGCTGTCTCCGATCTCTCCTGTGTTTAATATAAACATATATATATAAAGTAGAATAAAATAAATAAATAAAAATCCTATACAAATATATAAAAAATTAATATTAAACATTTAATATTATATTGGTTCGTTTCAAAATTATTATGTTGAATTTTTTTTACACATAAAAACTCCCGCCATTTTGTTTTTTTTAAGTCCATCGTTCCCAATCAAAATCTAAAGTTTGCGCGTATGGGTATATGTTTATGCTATAACATATTTGAATTGTAATTTTTTTGTTATTTAGAGCCATAAAAAGGTTAAATTAAATAGCCACCAGCAATCTTAATACAAATGGTGCTGTGCAATAAAAAAGTATTTTAATTGTCGAATTCTGAGAAATAGGCCGAATAGGAATAATTGGTATCTGCTAAATACTTACAGCTTTATAAGCCTACCTCCGCCGTATTTGAATGCTCTTAAGAATACACCAGGATGACCAGGTACTAGGCGCACGGAGTTATTGAAGCTCAAATAAGTTGGTAAGACCTTTTGTCTTAGGTTCGAATAATTTTGCTTTATTTCCACGCTTGGAGCAGACCTCGTTGTCAGTAAAACAGGATACTTTTGATGTAGTTGGCTTAACTATCTGGAGGTCCAACACTTAGTTCCTCAATGGTCCAGATGAGCTGGCTCACTAGATAGCTTAAGAGGGCGCTTTATTAATAACCTTTTCTTTACGACTTTATAAAGGATAAGTTTTTTATGCTACAAATAATATAGTATTTATTAGTACCTGCAAAAAAGAAAAAAAAAAACAAAAACAATACAAATCAATATTCTGCTAAATAATAAAATGTCTCTTATGGTTTCTCAACGGTGTTCATTGTTGTCATTTCTATACGAGGGGTGGGTAAATAGTAAGGATCAATATAAATAATGAAAAATTGTCTATTTACATCTAGTTTTCTCTTGTGGATAGAATTTATTATTTATATTATTCATAATAGGCCATCGATATATTTATAAAAAGTATTAACTGCACTCCTGTAATTCATAAAGAATCGTCCAACTTGACGTTTCTGACTAGATCGTACATACAGATCAACGATTTACCATAATCGAATAAACGGTTTCGCAACATACCATACAGTAAATAAAAATAAGTAAAAACAAAATCAGCCGCCAATCGTTATTCCTATCACGTGATTGAGGGCAAAGAGTAAGAATGAAGTATGGATTGATAGTAGACATAAGTTCGCAAAATTTAAACTTCTTTCGACATCCCCATGACCGAGTGTGGAGAATAAATAAGGAAATAAGAAAGGTCGTTACAAAAGTCCTTGGGCATAAAATTGGTTTTGTTTAAATTTGAGTATAAAACCTGTTCATTAAAATTATTTTTCAAAATATAGATCATTACTGTTATAACTCGTTTCTCCATCAGAAATTAAATTTGATGGTGATACGTGACCGAGTGGACTAAAGCGGGTGCACAGTACATTACGAGTTCCAATCCTGATGTTACATATTTAACGCGGCATAATTACCCCGCCCTCTCCCTCGACCAGAGAAAAAAACCCGTGCAGCCTAAAAGGCAAGAAAAAGGAGACAAAAACAAAGCTTAATATTTTAATATTTAGGCGGTTGTTCTAGAAATATATCCAAATCTAACCCGAGTGGGAATATCGAGATTCATTAATGGAGTCCCTAAGAAATAAACTTAAGCACGTCCAGGCCGAAATCGAACCAGTACCGCTAGACTTGGTAATGTTAGAGCGGGAACGGCTCAAAGCTCTCGGCCATCACGAATTTGAAGTTGCATAAAATATTCTAAGTTATTTATCTTAATCCAAAATGTATTTAATTCTCTGTTTTCTTTGGAACTAACTTCCCTCACAACCGGTTTTATTTTCATTTATGAGCATATTCATCTACCTCAATTCTTCAAAAACATCAAGTATTACAACTGTCTTAAAAAATATAATATGATCTTTTTTATTATATTATATATGATATTATATTTTTTTTTTTACTCTAATAAATAGGATGGGGTCAACTTGGTGGATTCTTGCCATCCACCAGACAGCTGATGGAAACAGATGTTAGAGCATTACCATCCAGGAAATGCCAGAAGGAGTTCTCTCTGAAAGCTCCTCAAACACAGATCTGTATCCAGGCACCAGGCACAGGAGCCTGTATGGTGAGCTCTAGATTTTTCAGCCTTTAAAATTAATAAAGATAAATATGCATAGTAATATTAAATAGAAATGAATTAGACATAATTTCAATATTATAACTCTGAAAGGTTTGAATCAAAAGATCTCATGAGAATATAATCTCTGAAACACTTCCATCAATCATGCTTGACATAAAATTAGAGATCACAATGTGGAATGAGACAGAGGCAGTAATCCGATTTTTTTTTTTTTTTTGGTTAACTGGGTTGGCTATTGAAATAATTATTTTTAGGTTATTTTTGGAGAAAAAAAAATTTGTATGTGCTCATGATTATCAGAGACAATTTCAGTGATTTGTGAATTTATATTACAGTAGCACTAGCATAATGCAAACCTTTTACTGCACTGTCTGTTTTCACATATTTTTCGTTTATTATAATTTTGTGCTTTTAACTCTACTGAAACCTCTGTTCATGTAATATTTGTTCACTTCAAAATATTGTAAATTTATTATGATATTACATTTATATATATATGCATACTCTGTTGAAAGCATTAATATTTATTATTTGATACCAAGCCAGGCTCTAATTGTATTGAGTAATTCTCACAAAAGGCAAATAATTTGTCATATATTAAAATAACTATGAACATTTATTTCCAGGGTGACTCTGGTGGTCCAGTAACCTATTTGGACCCTGAAACCAACAGGTACACCTTGGTTGGTCTTGTTTCTTTTGGCAGTGGGTTCTGTGACCCAATTGAACCAACCGTAACAACAAATGTTGCAGCCTTCCTTCCTTGGATAAAATCAAAGATCAGCAGTGAGCATTTGTATTATTAGATATAATCTTAGTTCAAAACTAGCCAATAGCTTTTGATGCATTCACCTAATATTGTATTAAATCTAAGGTGACTTATTTATAGATATATTTTTATGAATCCATTATCTATAAATATGTCATATTTAGCTAAATTGATTACCAAGCTATGTAAGTAAATTACTGTAAACATTTGAAAATAACTAGATAGGACATAGAAGTGTTAATTCTTTTGATTGAATCTTGATTTAGTCAAATCAATATTAAGTCCACAACAGACCATATTTTGACTAATTGATAAAATCACATATCTATTTATATATCATTAATGTCATCTTGGGAATCAACATTTTAAGTAAATTAAGGAGATAATTGTGAGATGATGGACCAACATAAATCTGGAGAATAATTGCTTAAAAATACATCTATGGCATCTGGCAGTTTTGTATGGCATTTATTCTTTCACCCACCATTCCTCACATCAACGGCCTCGAAATTCAAGAATGCTTTGTAGATGTTTTTAATGCATTCCATTAAATGAAATAAGTATTTAGTGTATTATAGTTTTAAGGCGTAATTTATATTATATCAAGTCAAAATACATTTAAAAAATAAATAAAATTTTATTTTCAGCTCTCGGATGTCAAAAGGTTAGTCGCAGAAAATTGAGGAACTTCCGTGACATAGTTTTTGGAGGATGAATTGAAGTTTTAATTTTTTTTTGTAGTTTGTATATTGTTGTAGTTTGAATAAATAAACGAAGTTAAACAAGTTAATTAATTATTTTATCAAACCAAGTAAATATTATATTTTACTTAATGAAATATTGATCAAAAAAGGAACGTTTCACAATTGGCAAATGCGCAAACTAATAAATCAAAATTACAATCTACAATCATGCGATGGAACTCCGAGGCTGGCTTGTCCCTCCAACTATGGAGGGAAAAGCTGGACTCCAGGAGAACCCTGCACCACTCTCTCAACCGCATCACTGGTATTAATGCCAGCGGAGATTGATCGAGAGCACTTTTAAAACTAACATGGAATATATTACTTCAGAAAATTTGAAGCGAATCTTTCAATCTAAGCTGCTCCTGCAATAGTTTTCCCCTGATAGTTTGCCAACACTTATCTATGGTGAATAACAAGGAGCTTCTTTTGGAGCTTTCTCGAGGAACTAGGTGTTGATGTTGGGGAGCTTGCGATATTGGCTGAGAATATTGTTTTGGACTCCCTGGGGATCATCCATTATCATTTATATAGTAATTGAGGATGACTTTTATTAATTCATTTATTTTTTTTATTATCGTCTTATCTTTTTATCTACATTAGTGGAATTACTTTGGTATATATGTAGTGTTGAATTCCTGGCATAAAATGCTTTTTTACTTTCCTACCTATACTAGGTAAGAAAAGTATTGCAATCGGGTCAAATTTCCGACATGCGGTTTTCGACGGATCTATACGTTTCACAGCCCCCTGAGTCCGAAAAACACATTTTTAGCCATTGGTCTGTCTGTCTGTGCCAAGATTTTCTCGGGAACTACTGAACCGTTTTTGTTGCTTCTTTTTTTATTTTGTAGGGTTTTGACTACCGATGCCTGTGACAGAAATTCGGTGCTCCATGCGCAATAGCTTGCGCGCAATAAATGAAAAACACGTTTTTCTATAGACTGTAGCGCAAAAACGGCTCAAACGATTTAGATTAAACTTTCCTATAATGTTCTAATCATTGCCGTTTCAATTTTTGTATATGGACTAAATTTCCGAAAAAAAATCAGGAAATAAAGTTATAAAGAAAAGAAAATTTTTATGGGGCCTAACTCGCTAAGTATATATTGTACGGTAAAATTTATAATAAAACTTTTGAAAGGTAATTAAATTACCAACAAAACAAAAAAAAAATCATTGGAATCGAACCAGTATTTTTTTTTTTTTTTTAATCTGTTTATTGGATAATAATACAATCAGCCACTGCTGGAGGGCTATAAGCATTAGGGCTACAAGTTCTCATTCATACAATATATACAAATAATAAAGAAATAAATATAAATATAATAAGTAAATAAATAATACTGGTGAAGAAGTTAAATAAAAATAAAATAAAATAAAAAATTTCTAAACACAATCATACCTATATACAATATATACATTCGCCCAAGAATCTCCGAGCCAGGCTTTTTCCCCCACACGTGGAAGGCGAAGCAAGACTCCGGAAGATCCCAGCGCCACTTTTCCAGCCGCATCACTAGTATTAGAAGCCAATGGAGACTGAAAGAGGGCACTAGAGCCACAGACGCTCAGGACATGAGTGGAGAAGCTGGCCATTGCCAGGACTCCAAAGGCATATTTACAAAAGATCTCGAGGCCACTGCCGTTTCAACCTTCGAGGGGGATGGTATGGATGTTCGGAGCTGGATAGGGATTGCGCTAGAGGATTGGGATGATGAATGAGGTTCTGGTGAAAGTTGGAGAATCTGGATGGGATGATGTCATGGACATATGGGATGTTAAGGTCATGGTGTAGGGTCTTGTTCGTGACATAATATGGAGCATTGACTATTGTTCGAAGGACTTTGGACTGGAAGGATTGGATGCGTTTGATATTCGATGATTTAGTTGTCCCCCACAGTTCAAGTCCGTAGGTCCAGATAGGTTTCAGTATGGTCTTGTAGATTAATAATTTGTTTTCTGTTGAGAGATGAGATGTTCTGTTTAGTAGTCTATATAGCTGACCAAATCGTCGGTTAAGCTCTTGTCTTTTAAGTCTGGTATGTGGGTTCCAAGTCAGTCTTTTGTCCAAAAGGAAGCCAAGGTATCGGACTGTGTCTGAGTAGGGAAGAGGAATTGAATTAAAAAGGATTGGCGGACAGGATCTGCGTCGAAGAGTGAAAGTTACATGCTTGCATTTTGATTCATTAATTTTGATGCGCCAGTTGTTGCACCACTGCTCAATGAAGGAAAGGTGTCTTTGCAGGTTCTGAGACGCTATTAGAGGATCCGAGTGAGAGGATAGGATGGCAGTATCATCAGCAAATGTTGCTAGGAAGGTATCAGGACTTGAAGGGATGTCAGCGGTGAAAAGGATGTAGAGAACTGGGCCCAAGACACTGCCTTGTGGAACACCAGCCTCAATTGGATAATGTTTGGAGAGTTCAGTGCCGCAGCGGACTTGAAAGGAGCGATTTGAAAGGTAGGATTTGAGGACTAGGTACAAGGGTTGAGGTAAATGGGTTTTGAGTTTGAAAAGCAAGCCATCGTGCCACACCCGGTCGAAAGCTTGAGCTACGTCCAGAAAGGCACCAGTGCAATATTGCTTGTTTTCAAGTGCAGAGGATATGTGGTCGACAACGCGAAGGCCTTGTTGGACAGTGGAGTGTCTTGAGCGGAATCCAAACTGATGGGGAGGGATATTGTGGGATTCGAGTATGGGTAGGATGCGTTTGAGAAGGATTTTCTCAAAGATTTTGGAAAGGATCGGAAGTAGGCTTATCGGTCTATAGGATGATGTATAATTAACAGGTTTACCTGGTTTAGGAAAGAGGATAATTATGGAGTGTTTCCACACCAGAGGAAAGTGGGTTGTGCGGAGGATACAGTTGAATAGGTATGTAAGGAATATAATTGCTTTTTTGGGAAGTTGTCTGAGGATCTGGGAAGTAAGGAGATCGTGTCCTGGAGATTTGCGAGGTTTTAGGTTCTTTAAAAGGAATTTGACCTCAGAGGGGTTGACGGCTGTAGGAGGTAAGGAGAGAGGAATCGGTGAAGAGAGGAACTCTTTAACTTCAGCAGTATGGGAGGGATGGAGTTCAGGATGAGGAGTGAATGTGTACGATAGATGTTTAGCAAACTCTTCTGCTCTATTCTCATCTGACGAAGCCCAGGAACCATCATCACGGCGGAGGGGGTGGGAAATGGATTGGAATTTAAGGATTTTTTTAGTTACATTCCAGATGGAGTTATCACTTGCAGATAGTGAGGAAAGACAGGAATTATAGGATTAGGATCTAAACGTGGCCAGTTTTTGTTTTACTTGCTTGGAATAATAGTTATATGATTTCCGATCATCAGGGTGCCTGGTTCTTTGCCAGATAGCCCTAGAGCATCGTTTTCTATTAATAAGGTCCAGTAGGTCTTGGGGTAGAGGATTTGTTTTGCGGTATTTTTTAGAAGGATCAGGTGAAGATGCAGTCCAAACTGCTTGTTGGATCAACGTAGTCATGGAATGTACTGCTTCATCTAGGTCTGTAGGTGTTTTTAAGGAAACTCTGAGGTCAATATTATCATCCAGCATTTGACGGAAGAGGTTCCAATTAACTGGCCCCCTGATAAATGAAGGTGGAGGTGGTTTGGGAATTGGTGATGTGGAAACCGTTAGGATTAGGGAACTATGGTCTGAGGAGAGATCATCAAGTCTTGAGATGCAATAATTAAGGGACCCTAGACCTTTGTGGATGAAAAAATCTAGGAGATCGGGATTGCGGTTAGGATCTGTTGGCCAGTATGTGGGAGAATTGGGTGAGAGGATGTTGCTGTGATGGGAATTTAAGTGCAGCTAGCAATGTTCGTCCTCGGGAATTTGTGGTTCTGGCTCCCCATTGCTGGTGTTTAGCATTTAAGTCTGCACCTAGAAGGAAGTGGTGTCCTAAGGAGTTAAGGAAGGAAGTTAATTGGGATTCTGAGATGGGTATTTTAGGCGGGGAGTATGCTGTGACTACTGCTATTGGGTAAGGGAAGTTTGGATTATCACGACAGTGAATTGTAGGAAATTATGGGTTGGCAAAGGGAATAGATGATGGGAAACGGATCTATGGATAATTATGGCAGTGCCACCATGTGCTGTTCCATCAGGATGGTCGGTTCGATAAATATTGTAGCCGGGAACATTGATTTGTCGTTTGTTGGTTAGTCGAGTTTCAGTTATTAGTGCTATGTCGATGTTTTTGTCATGTAATAAGATTGATGTACAGCTTATTCTATTTTTTACACATTTTTTTAACTTA